TTTGATATTTCCTAGAATATTTCAATTCTTCTAGGAGAGGGGTGGGTGCTAACTTTCTACAGGTAGACGGGACCACATCATGGCTTGGAGCTCCAAAGTGAAAAGGACAATCACATGCTTCAAGATGAAGGAAAAGAAGGAAGGGGTGAGATGCTGAGTGTGTCTGGGTTTTATACCCTCTGTTGGGATTTGAATTTGAGCTTGTATTCTGATTGGTGGTCAGACTCCCATGGGGCTATGCAGGGGCAACTCTGTAGAGTCCCAGGCTTGGTTGAGCCTTGTTGGATGATGATGTAATGGAAGGGCTTTGGGCAATTCCTATTATAGCTCTACCTGGAGATCTTTGTTACGTAAAATAGGCTGGCCTAGCCCATTAGCAAAGGGGCGGGGGTTGAGTTTCTGCTTCTGAGTTTCTACCCTTTTTAGGGGAAATATTCTGCCTTTTTAATATTTCCTAGGGTATTTCATTTTTCTAGGACTGGGGTAGTAGTAGTAACTTCCTACACTATGAATTGTGATTAGTAATCCTGGCTCTTGAATTTATCCCTTTGCTCTAAGAAGGCACTGTTTCTCAAAACTTAGCAACTTCAAGACTGAAATCCCCAGAATTCCCCAGCCTGCATCTAGTGGTCCTGATGACCGAAATAACCTGAGCTTTGCATTGGCATCACTGGGGAAACTTCACGCTAGAGGTGGCTGTCTAATTAAAAACTAGTCCCACTTCCCCTCCACCATTCCTCCTTTGCCCACTTTTGTTAATTATTTTATGGGCTGTGATATTATTCAATGTGTACATCGAAATAGCTGCAAGAAATGCACATTTGAAAGAATTTACCATTGCGGTTAAAATCCGTGGTAGAAATATCAACAGCCTCCTATATGCTCCAACATTTCTTGCGGAAAGCAAAGAAGATCTGGAATAGTTAGTCCTGAGAGTCAAAGATGAAAATGAAAAAAGTTAGACTAGCACCTTAACAACATCAAGAAAACAAAGATAATGCAGAGGACACAAGGTTAGAAGGCAGATTGACAATGAGACCATCAAACAGTAAAGGAGTTAATCTTCCTAGATTCTAAAATCGATCAAAGTAGTGACTTGCAGCCCTGAGATCAGAAGGAATATAGCACTTGGAAGAACTGGCATGAATAACACTTGGAAGAGTAAAGATATCAGCCTCACAACTGACTACATATTAGTCAATGCAGTGATTTTTCCAGTTGCTAGTTAATATGGCTGCAAAAATTGACTTTGAAAAAGGCAGGAGAAGGGTGGTTGACTTTGGAGGCGACTATTATGCATCCATGGACTGCAAAAATAACAAAGAAGTCCTTAGACCGAATCTCGCCAACAATGTCACTTGTAGCCAATATCACTAAGAAGAGGCTGTTCATACTTTGGTCATATCACGAGAGCTGGCTCATGGGTCAGTCATGCTGGGAGAGATCGGGAGAAAAAAAGAGAAGGGCAGCCCCTAACACCCGTCTGCTGGACACTGTAAAAGATGACACTGAGATGACTACGGCCGATATGAAGGAGGCAGTGTGAGACAGAGGGGCATGGAGAGTACTGATTCATAGAGTGGCCAAGGGTCGGACACAACTAAATGGCTGAAGATTACGGTATTAATGTTTTTATGCTGTAAGCCACCCAGTCATCGGACAAGGGATGTGCGGCAATTAAATTTCATGATAAATAAATAGTATAATTTACTAACCTACAAGATAATCAAACATCAGTGTTCTTTTCCTGGGTGCTTAATATCTCACTCTTGCATCATTAGAGACCTTTTCAATAAAATGAAGGTGGAACTTATGGGTCAAATAGATTAAAACAAAACAGCCATTGATCTGGTATGCTGCACCGTGTAAACAAGAGGGCTCTTAATGAGTGGATGTGGTAGAGCTCAAAAGCCACACTCGAAAAAAGGAAGCATTTTGGGGGGGAAAGTCAATACAGCCTTCCAAGGTCCCTTCCCCAACCCTATTATTCTCTATATTCTATGTTCTTTCTTTTTCCATTTGTGTATATGGCAGTGGGCGTGTACCAAAGGTGTTTTTCCAAAAGGCAACTGGACTTTTCTTGTTTTTTTCTCTGAAAAAGATAACAGGTATAAGTATAAACATGAGTAAGAATACAGGAAATAGGTACAAATAAATGGGGACAATAAGACAGGGATGGTAGGCACCATGGTGCACTTATGCACGCCCCTGATAATTGAAGATGAGATGGAGAAACACCCATCACATCAAAAAAACACATCAAAAAAAGTTGAAGTGCCTGTGTGCAGTAACCAGCAGGATGTGGGAATGAGTCTACGATAAAATAGTAGCTGTACAGAATTAAATTTGTAAATTAACACTAGAGGGAGCAAAATACTTAGGTGTTCAGCTGAAAAACTGCTTAGTGCCTTGAATGCATACAGCCCTGTGCACAGACTCTCACAGATACAAACTCAAATGGAGTTACAACAGTGGACTACATATGCAACTGAGAGTTGACTTATGGAATTCTTGGTGTTCCCCACAAACATTTTTTGCAAACAATTCATTCCCAAACTAGATAAAATCTCAGTACTCTTACATGGTTTGTTGGCTGGCTAGATTGGGATGGATGGGTGTGTGGGTAGATGAATGGAGCTTGTTCTACTAGCATTGTGTAGGTTTGGAGAGAATATGTGGATTGGGGATACTGTCTGGAGGTTGTGGTAATCAGTGGTGGTTTTTGCTCATCAGGATGTTGGTTAAAAGATTTGGGGTCTTTGTTGCTTCTGGATACTTCATAAATAGAGTTAATTTCTATATGCCTGCTGATGACTAAATTAATAGAGTTAATTTCTATATGCCTGTTGATGGCTAAATTTGGCAATGTAACAAGACTCTTGCATTCTTAGATTAAAATATCTACAGCTTCCCAATTGAAATGATGATTGAACCCAACAAAGATCTGTGCATAAGACATGCAAAATCCTGCAAAAGCCGAACACAAACATGGCAAAACTGCAAAACGCTTTTTGCTGGATTAATTCATTTTGGAAACCAAGATCCTCTACAAAAAAACCTCAACAAGAAGGTTAGGTTTGTTTGGCAGAATGATTTTTCAGATTCTGTTAGAGAAAACAAAACGGAAAGACTGGAGTGGTTCTCCCTGTTCCATTCTCTGTTTTGACAATGCAACTTTGGAGATATTTTTTAACTAAGGGGATAACCAGTTTCTTTTGAGTTATTCTCCTGGCAGGTTCTTAGAAAGAAGGAAATGAAACCAATCACATTATATATTAAAGCAAGAATTTGATCCCCCAAAATCAGAAGTCTTCCTATTTCTTCAGCATACCCCAGTGGAAGAATCTAGGGAATCTCTACCCAACAAATAAGCGGGAAATATAAAAAATAAAAAGGGGAAGGGAGCTACCCTTCTGTCATTCCTTCCACCTCGCTGGTAAAAACCTTTGGGATCAGGAAGTCTCTGGCCACCCAAGGTATATTTACAATTGTTTCTTTTTTATTCTGCTTGGATGCCTTTGCAAACTGCCTTGGACATTTGGTTGGATTCTGGGAACTACGACCAAAGCCTTTTACCACTTCTTCAGATTTGTTTGGGTCCTACAGTTCCCCCATGTGAGCCCAAGCCTAGAGAAAAACAATGATACAAGGCAAGGGACAATGCCACCACTGTGCACTTTGTGAAAAGAATTGAGTTGGATTATTGCACACCCACTCCTGTAATACCAAACATCTGTAGTCTGCCAACATAGTTCCTATGTTCTGAGTTTGTGTGCAGAGAAGAGCTTTTTTAATGAGCTTTTTTTTTTTTCTAAGAGCAGTGAACGTAGTCATGAAAATCTATTTTCAGGTCTCTACCAGCTGGTTTTGGACACATTTCCACCATCTGCAATATGGTGAGTGAACCGGAAACGGAAGTGGATTTTGCCTTGAGTCTTACAAATTGCTTTATGCCAGACTACTTTGCCTTCCCAGGAGATACGATTTTGTGCTGTATTCTGAATCAGAATCAGAATAGAGCTAGAAGGGACCTTGAGATCTTCCAGTCCAGCCCCTTGCTCAAGCAGGAGATCCTATAACAGGGATGGCAAATCTTTTCGGCACCAAGTGCCCAAAGTGGAACACAGGTGCATGTGCGCATGCCGGAAAGCCGAAGACCATCTGGCCGGTGCATGTGTGCCTGGTTTTTAGTTGTTTTTGGCCATTTTCAGGCTGTTTTTCGGGCCATTTTCAGACCATTTTCGGGCCAAAAACAGCCTGAAAAAGGCCCGAAAAACAGCCTGAAAACATATTAAATATATTAATATTAACAATAGAACTGAATTGGAATAGAATGTGTTGTTTTAATTACATACATTTATATTTTTTTCTTTTTTAAAGAATATAGTGTGTATTTTAAGAATGTACCAAGCAGAATCCGAATGGAAGTTATGTATTATATTGAATGTTATAACTTTAGGGTATATATTGAAGGCTAAATAAGAGTTAAATGGATAAACTCAAAAGATATAAAGGCGTCATACTCCAGTCAGTAACTACAGGAGAAATTTTGTTTAATGAGAAAAGATAATAGATAATTGAAACAGGACAGACAAAAAATGTAAATATAATGATTTGAATTGAGATGAGATAATTAAAATAAAATTGAGAACATTAAAAGAGGGGAGAAGCTATGCAGAAAAAGTAAAACAGTAATAGGATATGGAATAGAACATAAAAATGAGCACGAAGTTGAATTTGTGTCTGTATGAAGAAATGTAACCCGGGATTACGCTACTTTCAAAAAAGATGTTTTATTTGTATTTTTTTTTCTTTGTGAAAACTCAAATAAAATTTACAAAAAAAAAAAAAACCCACCCTCCAGTGATGAAGCACCTACAACTTCTGGTGGCAAGCTGTTCCACTGTTTGTCCTCCCTGTTAGGAAGTTTCTCCTTAATTCCAGATTGCTTCTCTCCATGATTAGTTTCCATCCATCGTTTCTTGTCCTGCCTTCTGGAACGTTGGAGAAGAGCTGGACTCCCTCTTCTTCTTGGTGGCAGCCCCTCAAGTACTTGAATACCGCTATCATGTCGTCATCCCCAGCCCTACTCATTTCTTCTTCATCACAGGGGTTTTTTTTTTCCCCATCAAAGGCTGCTTCAAAGAAGTGAGAAGAGCAGAGCACATAACATTCCCGCCCCCCCCCATTAGATGTCAGTTGAAGGTGTCTGGAGAATCAGGCAACTTCATCAGAGCAGTTAAAACCCCCCCAAGGGTGGTGGGATTCCTAAGGGGGAATTAAGTTGGCAATTAAATCCTCTCTTCAGTTCAGACTGTCATTGTAAACCTGCTTATCAGGTAATGAATTCCATTGAATTTGAACAAGGACGTGATGCATGCATAAATCGGGCTGCGATTGAGTTATGAGGTGGGGCAATGCTTTCGTGTGCATTTGTGTGGCTTTTATTAGGTACAAAAATTTTTGTGTTTCTTGAAAAACACGTGGCTTCCCTGAGTCATCCGGTATTTCAATTCTGAAATTTTGATGGCCACCCCATCGCTCACCATCGTGTAACTGCATTTTGGGCACGTAGCAACTGGCTCACATTCACACAACCATGTAAACAGCGACTGTACATTTTTGCCCAAACCCAGGACGGAGGTGGCTACTGGACTAATCATCTTCCCCCTGAACTTCCTGCCCACCTCCACCCATCTTTTAATTCATATTACAGTATTACAAAATTTTATTATTTTCACTGCTTCATTGCTTCATTATTGTTATGTTTACATTTTCTCTTTTTTTTTCTCTTTTACTCTTCCAGTGTAGCCCCAGGGCAGCAAATAAATTTAACAAATAATTAAATAAGTTTACTTCCAGTTTTCAGGAAAACTGGCCCATAACGAACAACTAGTTTGTTTAATGAACACTGCCAAAAAAGGTCATAAAATCAGGTCAGTCATGTGACAATTTGCTTTACAACTGTCATGACTTATAACCTTAATAGGCAGGCTCCATTATGGGCATAAATAATTTTTATATAACTGCTTATACAAAAATACTACTTATTAACATATTACATTGATATAATAAAATATTGATATTTTATTACTGTATTTTGAAAAAAAATTAACATTTTCTCATAGAGAGCTACTAATATTCAGGTCTGGTTAGGAACTGTACTATAATCAAATGCTGGATACTTAACTTGAATTTTTGTCAATGTTGCTTTGGCAATTTTCACCAATTTTCTAAAAGTTGTCCTTGGAGTAGAATATGCGGACTGGAATCACCTCTGAAAAATTATTCCATTGTTAATTGTACATACAGAATGTGAGGTTTTATGGAGACCAAACACTTCTCCTATGTGGATAAAGTTACTGATCCTGTCCCTGAAATTCTGAAGTTCAAGAACTTAAATAAGCATGTTGCAAAAGGAGTTCCTAAACATCTCCTTGGAGATTCAGGATCAAATACCTTTTAATTCTTATTTTTCATTTATAAAGCACCTAACATGCACTTCGTGTGGTACACAACGTTAAGAACAAGGCATCCCCTCCCTGCTGGCTTACAGTTTAAAACTCCGTAAGACAAATGCGATGGGGAAGGCAGAGGGAAAAGGACAAACCCAGATACCATGTTCTTACTACAACCAGCTGGAATAGGGACCAGTTGGATCCCAAGAGCAAGTGGATTCTTATACCTCTTGGGCTTCATACCAGAGGAGGAGTGGCTAAAAAGAAAATTGGTACTCCTGAAACAAAATCTGAGCTCCAAAGGATAGTGAGGAGTAAGATGGCTTGATGTCTCCTCCTATTCCTTGGCTCTCATTTGTACCTGGCGCTTGGCAACACAGAAAGGGCCCCGCTGAATCAGATTAATCAGCCCTCCGAGGCCACCACCCTCAAAGCCAAAATGTGCTCCCTTCTGGACTAGATCAGGGCTATTCAGCCTGAAAGCCCATTAATGCTTCAATGTACCCTCCTGTTCCAGTGAGCTGGCTGTCAGGAATTCAGAAACCTTTTCATTCTGTGTTGAGAAGTTTTAACGATCCCGGCAAACTCCAAGAGCTGACTGTGATTTTTTTTATTATTTCTGGCATGGGAATTTTTTAAAAAACCCACCATCGCTATAGAAAAATGAATCACCCACCCCACACACAGCTAGTCATATTCCACATTTTACTTTCTTGCTATTTAAAAGTATCATTTCCCCGTTCAGTTTATTTCAAAGGAAAAAGGAGGTGTAATAAATACAGATGCTTCAGCGACAAGATTCTGAAGACAGGCTGATCTCCCCAAACTATTTCTGTGCTGCAAAGTTTCAGTTAAGTGAACGGGAACAATTTAGCATACTAATTTGACTGCAGGATTGTATCTATTGGGGCCTTACAAAAGGATCACAACCTTTTCATGAATTCCTACTTCAGATTCACTTCATGGTTTTTTGTGCTTGAGACTAAGCTAGGACAACTCACTTTCCCCAGGATAGGTACCTAGCCAGGATCACTTTACACGTTCAGCACAATCAATCTGTTGATTTCCCGACCCTACCTGTAGCATTTAGGGAAGACATTAAAGACATGTTCCATGGGAAAAGGAGAGCAAACCCCCTCATAACTCTGTATATAGAGATATCTAGCATCTTCTCCTAGAGGTCTCTATCTGCTATCCTGACAATGCAGCCTAAAATTCTAGCTTTGATCCACTGAATGTTATCAACTCACTTGTCAGTTAGGTGAAGATTGGACTGGGAGAATACACACTCATTCTCAAGAAAATTTGAGGTTGGCTAAAATCAGCCTAATAAAACATGACTGTTGAAATCAAGTTTTTTGCTTGTCTGGGTAAACAGTGTTTCTCAACTTGAGCAAATTTAAGATGTGTGGACTTCAACTCCCAGAAACCCCCAGCCAGCACATTTTAAAGGAGCCAAGGTTGAGAAATGCTACAGAAAGGCACTAACTCTGCCAACAAACAAGGAACTCCTAATTTTGAAAGTTGACCATGGTGGAAGACGGTTGGCAACTGGTGGTAACGTCTGCTACTTCTTTTTAAGAGCCAAAAATGAAAGAATATTGATTCTATATTACCCACTACAAACCAAGATGAAGACTAAGCCCTCTGACGTCTTCAGAACCTCCATACAGCAGAACTGACTTTCACTTTACAGGACAATGGGAGCTGAACCTAAATCAACAGAGCAAGAAAATATGAAGGACATGATTGGTTCCAAGAATGATGGTGGTTGGTGGTTCTCACCGTCCCTTCCAACAAGCAAGTTTATATATATTATTTCCACAACTGGTTGCCTTTAGATGTCATTTTTTGCCTTCTACGAGGAAAAATGGTGACCAGCAGACCACTGAAACGTGGACCATGGGATGGGAGCCATTCCATTCCTCAAGGATCCACAGAGTTCACTTCTTGCTGATTATTCCTCCATTTGCTTGTCTTCTTCAAAGTCTTCTTTTTGGGATGTGAATGTCTACAGGGACAAATGTCACTGCACTGTTCCTGGCAGAGGTGCTACTGTCCTGTCCTAAAACAGAGGGGATGTTGGTCTTTGCATTCTTTGGCTCCAGCTCTCGTTTGATTCTCATGTGCCTACAAAAAACGAAGCAGACTTTGTGTTAGTGTGCTGGCTGTGCAGCAGCAAAAACAAGAAACTGTGGCTCCTGACAGCTAAGCACCGCTGTTGTAGATAAGCTTTTGCAAATCACAGTCCTGATGCACAGGGCATTCTTCCAAGAAATCATCCATTCAGGAGAATCTTCCTGAAATTATTTTCTTTTTAGAATAAATTTTACAATGTTTAAAATCAAATTAAATGAGAAAAGGTAGGGAAGAGGTATTGGAGGACATTTCCTTTCTCTTACATGCATTCTTCCCCAAATCTTCTGCAGCTCTAAAAATATACAGGTACTTCTCAACTTACAACCATAATTGGGATCAGAATTTCTGTTGCTAAGCAAAATGGTTGTTAAGTACGTCACACTGGATTTTACAACCTTTTTTTTTCTGCCACGGTTATTAAGCAAACCACTGTACTTAAGTGGATCATACGGTTGTTAAGAAATTTGATTTCTTCCATTGATTTTGCTTGTTGGAAGCCAACTGGGAAGGTTGCAGATGTGATCACGTCACCCCAGGGTGCTGCAACCATTGCAAATACACGACAGTTGCCAAGCGCCTGAATTTTGATCACGTGACTGTGGGGATGCTCTGAGGACCAGTCATAAGTCACTTTTTATAGTACCGTTGTAAGCTTGAACAGTCATTAAATGAATGATTGCAAATTGGGGACTGTATACTGTACCACAAGAATGTTCAGGAGGTCCTGAAGTGACTGCTTTAATTTATCAGATTTGTAAGGTTGCCCAGCTCAAAAGAATTTGGGATGGCATACAATATTAAAAACAGAATATACACAACAATTAACAAAAGAGATTAATTGTTGCTCGAAGTGCTCATAATATTTTCAATCAATCAATTAGATTTATTTACAGGGATTTTAGTCTGCTTTAGTCAGAAGCAACCCTTGCCGGCTTCTTACTCCACCGGTAGTCCTCCTCGACTTACAACAGTTCATATAGTGACTGGACTGACTCGTATTTATGACGGTTGCAGTGTCCCCGGATCCCTTTTGAGACCTAACAAGCAAAGTCAATGGGGAAGCCAGATTCACTTAACACCCGTGTTACTAACTTAACCATTGTAGTGATTCACTTAACAACTGTGGCAAGAAAAGTCGTAAAATGAGGCAAAATTCACTTCATAAGTGTCTAGCTGAACAACAAAAATTTTGGGCTCAGTTGTGGTTGTAGGTTGAGGGTGACTGACCTCCATTTGTCTTTTTGACAAACAAAAACGGCACCTGAGCTTGCAACGTCTCACAAAAGGAAAATGGCAGAGAGCCTGAATGTAAAAATGTGGTGACAGCAGGATTTATGAGGTAAAAAACGCCCACAGAACACACAACCAGAGTAATAGCTTTCCTCAGACACAGTGCCATCAGAATAAGCACATCCGCCACATGATGTCATTTGTGCAATGATGTCATTACATATGTGATGTCACTGCTCCCCTCACCGCTCAGAAACCGATGAACGGAGTGATTGCATCCAGTCCGCAGACCAGGGATGTCAAACTCACACCGTCATGGCGTTGTCACGTGACGTAGCGTGACTTTTTCCCCTTTGCAAAACCGGGTGGTGGGCGTGGACAGTGCGTCACACATCCAGCCGGCGGGCTCTGAGTTTAACGGCCCTGCAGTAGATTGTTCTGAAGAATGAAAGGAACTGGAGAGAGAGAAAAATCAAATGGCTAACCTGTTATACGTTTTAAGGATGAGCAGAACTGTTGTAAATATTACTATGACGCCCACGACAATAGCTGCTACTATTGCTCCAGAGCCTAATCAGGAGAAAGAAAGAAAAACATCAACTTTTATGCACAGGCTTTTAAGTATACTTCAATTGCCAGCTTATAATAAAATATAATTCCCATGTTTTAGGATATGTACAAAAACACCCCAAAATTTTATCTTATTTTTATCTGTTTTCTTAGAAATTGCTATAGGTAATTGTTTACTATAGGTTTAATTCACCCTTAAAAGCCAAGTAGTCCTCAATTTATGACGGTTCATTCAATTAGTGTAATTAAGGCAGAGATGGTCCTGTAGGTTTTTTTGATGGGAGGGGCTGGGCGAAAATGTCCTTGTGTCTCCCATGGAAGAACTCCTTTTACAACATTTTAGTAATTTTATTTATTTGTGCCTTTGTGGTGCGATTCAAAATGTTTCACTACCGGTGCTGTGGGCCTGGCTTGGTGTGCATGGCAGGGGAAGGGTACTGCAAAATCCCCATTCCCTTCCCACCCCATACCACCTCTGCTTTGAGTCAGTGTCAATTCGTGGCAACTGCCAGACTAGCTCCTGCAAATATTTGGCAATATTTTGGAAGTAGTTCGCCATTGCTTCCTTCTTGGGGCCAAGAGAGAGGAACTGGCTCAAGATTGCCCAGCTACTTTGTGCCTAAGACAGGACTAGAACTCTCGGTCTCCTGGTTTGTACCTTAACCACTACATCAAAGTGGCTTTCTCCTGGTAAATCAGAAACTTACCAGTTTGGATATATTTCTTAATGCGTGGTCTAACAGGACAATTCAGATATTGCGCATTATGTTAACTGTACTTTGTGGGTTTTGTTATGGATTGAGAAAACATACCATAAAGTGACAGCAAACAAAAAGAGTTAAATTTTATTCCTCATGTATCTCTTCATTCCATTCTTCGTATGCCACCATAAACGAAAACGTATGTGGCTATGGTTTACTGAAATGAAACCTTTAACTCCTTTAGGATTAAAAATATAACTCCTTCCAAGACTCCCATCAACACTGACAGGGCAAGCCACTTGTACATAAACAGAGAGCAAATCCCTTCCAGCACTGATGATATTACTTAATTGGATAATGAAACGTCTGCCAGAAAACAACCAAGCTCAGAGAGCATCAAGGACCCCACATATGTATTTCCAATTCAGTTCCCAGTTGAAAGAATTGCTAATCCAGCTCTTCAGATCCTGTCACCTCTGCAGCAACTGGGACCTTGTCAGAGGAAATCCAGAGTTGTTTCATTCAAACCCCGAAGGTGTTTCTTCACGCTCTAGTGGTGAAAAGCCCAGAGGTGGCATTCAGCAGGTCCTGACCAATTCTGGAGAACCAGTAGCGGAAATTTTGAGTAGTTTGGAAAACAGGCAAATCCCACCTCTGACTGGAGATTTTACAGTATCGTTCCCCTGCCACGCCCACCAAGCCACGCCCACAGAACTGGTGGTAAAAAAAAGTTGAATCCCACCACTGGAAAAGCCCATAAAATCTCCCAGTGCCACCCCTTTCTTTTCTTACTCTGATAAAGGATTTGCTGTCGAGATTTTGTGGTCACATTCTTCCAAGGCAGGGAATATTCAGACGTTGGGGCAGCTGTAGTCATCTTGATTCCAGCTATGCAGAACATGGGGGGAAAAAAACATTAGTATGATGCAAAGGCAATTTAGTAGGAGAATCATAAGAGAGGCATCAACATCAGGCAAGCAGCATCTGTTGCAACTGATACAGCAAACAGACTTTCTGGTTCCACAAAACACATTGGTTTTGTCCAGGTGATCCACTGTTGTGGTTAGCGGGCAGCAGGTGCGGACGGCTGAGGAAAGCGAGGACTCAGATGAGGGGCCAGGACCATCAGGGAGTGGACTGCTGCCTTCAGAGATTGTGGGGGCTGGCAGCAGCGATGAGGAGGTTCCCGAGGAGCCTGTGCCAAGTGTAAAGCATGTGCACAGGGCTGCTCGCAGGAAAGAGCAGCTTCAGCAGCAAGAGCGACTTTGGAGTAAGGCTGCAAGGTAATGGACCCTCCTTCACGAAGATAAAAGCCAGCTGTGAATAAGATGTTCTATGCAGGAAGCAAAAACGTTTTGAAACTTCAGCCTCATGGACATTGCAGTATCTTAATTGGTATTTGAAGAGTCTTGTGCTGGGAAATATTTCTTATCTGTTGTATTTTGGCAGCCTTGCAAAAACTTGGCAAGGCTCTTTCTTGTCGGAGCTAATCAGTTGGAAGCAGCCTTTTATATGTGAGGAAACCGGATTCATAGATGAAACGTTAAAAGGTTTTAACATAGTTAAAAGGTTGTGCTGCTGCCTTTGTCTTGTGTTTGCTCTCTGGGAACCAGGTTTGGGTCAGAACAATCGCACTACACATAGGGATGGCTATAAAACAAGCTATTAAAACAATTTATTTTGTTCATAGTCTGCCTCCTAAGGATCTCAGGGTGAGATTCAATCCATTTTCTAAAAACAAATTATGTAAAAGAATGCTAGCTAGGGAATTCTGGAAGTTGAAGTTTGCACAACTTAAAGTTGCCCAGTTTGAAAAAACCCGGATCTAAAGTGACTGTATGCAAAAGGGAATAACGCACCATATCCGTTCTTATCTTGATCTTCACTTTAAGGACTCATTCACTTTGAAGTGTTTGTAATGGCTACATGACTGTGCTTCCTCTTCCATGCTCAGCTAAGTGCCGCTACCTAATTAGATTAAATATGCAAGCACAAACCCACAAATAGGTGGCCCTTGAAGCATGGCCATAGTTGAGTCCAGAATGGTAATTATAAGTCATGCCAATTGTCATCACGCAACCTCAGGCGGTCGTACACTTTACTTCTTTTGTGCAGTGGTCGTTAAGTGAATTCAGCAGTCATTAAGGAAACCCATTGTCTGCAAGGGGCGCTTTTGGCCAAAAGCTGGAAATAAACACTGGTTTCTGGCAATCGCAGTTGTGTGAATGTGGGGTGCTGCAGGTGACTGTAAATGTAGGCTGGTTGCTGAGTACCCATAATGTGATCACTGGGATGAGGGCACCCATCAGAATCCAGGTCATAAGTAAAATGGTATCATCTTTAAAAAGCACAATCTGTTGATAATTGTATAGTGATCTTAAAATAAGGGAAGTGAGCATTAATAACAGCAATCATGAATGATAACGCAATAACTCCAGGATCCTGAATTTAGCACCTTAAAGCAATATAGCTAGTCTCCACTTATGACCACTCATTTAAAAATGGTTCAGAGTTGGGGCAATGCTGAAAAAGGTGACCTTCAGCCTGAAGTTATGGCCACTGCATCACTCCCACAGTCATGGGATTGTAATTTGGATGCTTGGCAACCTGCTCACATTTATCAAAGCTGCAATGTCCGGTGGACTTCCAATAAGCAAAGTCAGATGCAGATTAACAGAGTTGGAAGGGATCTTGTAGGTCATCTAGTCCAGAGGTCTCCAACCTTGGCAACTTTAAGATTTGTGGACTTCAACTCCCAGAATTCCCCAGGCAGAAACCCCCCGCCCAACCCCCTACCCCTCTCCCTGCAGGAGACCCTACACCATTTCTGACAGAGTCGGAAAGTCAATGGGGAAAGTCAGATTTGCTTAAAAACTCTGTGAATCACTTAACGGCTACATGCTTGACATAATGACTGTGTGACTCACTTAAAGACCACAGTAAAAACGATGGCAAAATTGGGTCTGGTCATATGATCCCTTGCTTATCCATGCCATCATTTAGCAACAAAAATGTAGGTCCCACTTGTGATTCTACCCATACAAAACCTTTTGCCAAGGTTTACTAGAGGCAAAAATGGGATAAGTATATATGATATATAGATAATAAACAGCATATATGTTTTTTCAAACATGTTAGTTGTCTCAAAACAACTTTATTGTCTATTTCCAGCCTCTGTGTTTGGTTGTAGGAAATTCACCCCGATTAGTAAATGTTTTCAAATTTTCTACCTTGAATAGACAGGATGGGTCTTGTTTAAACCTTGGAAATAAAAACAGTGGTCATCTAGCCACCCTCACCCCCCAGGCCAGAAGAAATGGTTAGAAAAATCACAGCTGGCTGTAAAGTCTGGTGAATGGAGCCCAGCACCTACTACGGTAATACTGAAATTTATATAACTCCACTCTATAACGCAGCTTCTCTAAATGAAATTTCAGAATCACAAGTAAAAACTAAGAGGGAACTTAAGCTCATTGCTGGCAACATGCCTCCCCTACCCGCCACCCCGCTGCTCTCTGCCCCATTGGTGTCTCTGGAGAGTTTTGCCCCAAGCTTTCAATGCTTTGAATTGCGAAGTTGTTTGCACTGTGTACCCGCCGTCTCAGAGTTTCCAGCCAAAAAGGGGCAGCAGCGAACATGAAAATAACTCTGGATCTGAATCTATAACGGCCGTCATTCTCCTCCAAGTGAATTGTGCCTTTGTGGGCCCAAGGATGACCTACTTTTGCAACCCAATCGTCCAGTGTGGTCGGGGATCCTCTTTCTCCAGTGTCTCCTTTTTTGAAAGAATCTTGTTCCAAAGTTCTCCTCTGCAGCTCAACTGGCCTCCCCTCCCTCCCTCCCTCCCTCCCTCCCAGCTGACTACCAACTTCTCACGCAGGATCCTTTCTCCATCCTAGGCATCAAATCCACGTCCCCCAAAGGCCACCATGGAACACTTCACTGCTGTTTCACGAGGCTTTGAAGGGTCAAAATGGAGTGAAGCGGGTGGGTCGTTCCTCTTTGGGGGAAGGTGGCAGCAAGGCTGAGTCAATATTATCTTAAATAAATAAAGTCGAGGGCCAAATGACACACAAGTCAGAAGACATTTCCATTTTTGGAAGATGCTCACCTCTGACTGTTCCTTTCAGGAGGGAGAGATTTTGCTAGCTATTATTTTGTCACCGGTGGTCCATAAAACTGTCTCCTCAATATTCTGCTCTTCGAACTGCAACAGGGAGGGAGGGAAGGAAGGAGGGAGGGAGAGAGGAAGAGAGGGGGAGGAGGGAGGGGGAGGGATGGAGAGAGGGAGAGAGGGGGAGGGAGGGACAAGGAGAGAGAGAGGGAAGGAGGGAGGGGGGGGGAGAGGGAGGAAGGGGGAGGGAGGGATCGACAGGGAGGAAAGGAGGGAGAGAGGGGTAGGAGGGAGAGAGGGGGTAGGGAGGGATGGGGAGGGAGGAATGGAAGGAGGGAAGGGGGAGGGAGGAAGAGGGAGGGAGGTATTGGAAGGGAGGGAGGGAGAGAGGGAGGAAGAGGGAGAAGGGGAGGGAGGGAGGGAGGAAGAGGGAGGGAGGGAGAGACAGGGAGGAAGAGGGAGAAAGAGAGAGAGATGGAACCCGTAGCACCCACCAGCTGCAGTTCAGTCTTCCTCCCCCCGAATATAAAAGCTCTTTCTTTCCTCTCTAGGCACACCTGCTTTTCAGTCTTGCACCTTTATTTTCCACTGGGGAGGGAGGGAGGGCAAACAAAGCTCTCATTCAATTTGTTGACGGTTGAGTCAGCCAGTCTAAAGGGGAGCAGAGAAGCCGTTCCTCTGGGTCGTTGCTGAATTGATCCTTGCTTTCAACAGATTTATGACCGTTACTGTGTCTCCAGTTCATGTGATCCACCCTTTGCGACCTTTGGACAAGGACGATCAATGGGGAAGACCAGAGGTGGCATTCAGCGGGTTCTGAGCAGTCCTGGAGAACCGGTAGCGGAAATTTTGAGTAGTTCGGAGAACCGGCCAATACCGCCTCTGACTGGCCCCGCCCCCATCTATTCTCTGACCCAGCTGATTGGCAGGGTCTTCTTTGGTTGCCCTGCACAGGAGAATGGAGCTGGAAAGCAGGTTAGGGGGATGGGGAGGGAATGGTGATTTTGCAGTATATCCTTCCCCTGCCACGCCCACCAAGAAACGTTAGTAAATATTTTTTAACCCCACCACTGGGGAAGACAGATTCACTTAACAACTATGTTACTAACTTATCAACTGCAATGATCCACTTAACAACTGTAGCAAGAACGATTGTAAAATGGGGCAAAGCTCACTCAACAAATGTTTCACTTACAGAAATTTGGGGCTCAATTGTAGTCATAAGTCGAGGACCCCCTGTATATCCCACCCTAGCTATATGTCCCCCCCCTGCCTTTCATTTGGGAGTTCCAGGTGGCGCACAGAATATTCCTCTTCCTCCTCCCACGACAGCAGCCTGCAGAGCAGAACTAACCCCTTCTGAAGTCTCTTAAGGGAGTTTTGAAGACTGGGGGGGGGGGGATTCAAAGCTGGGCCTCTCCAGAGACAGTCCAATCCTTACTGTACACCACTACGCCACCCAAGCTCCTCTCCTTCCTCCCTGACTTTTATGGCAGATGACTCACATCCAACCAGGAAGGTCAAATTCCACATGGAACAGAACGAGTTGAGATCTAAAAGCTCACAGCCCAGCGCAAATATACACACTACTTACAAGCAGCTACGTGGGAAACAGTCAGGGTGTATATACAAAACCAGATAGGCCATTTCTAAGTTATTTATAATCCTAAATACGGTTGCTTTCCACAGGTAGAAAGCATATTGATTCAAGATCTCGACTTTTTTTTTTTTAAATGAGAGTGCCAAGTTTCTAGTGAAAGGAATATTGTGATGTGCTGGGAGCATCTCTGGAATGGGTCCTCGAATCAAGGGCACCCATTTTTCCTCCAGCCAAGGGCAGCTTGTAGGAAGGAGTTGGGGGGTTCAAACTCCAGAAAAAAGGGCAGAGAAAATTGAGTTCCAAACTGGAAGGAAATTTTAAGGCTTAGACGGTAACAAGAAGGACCTCACCTTAAAACCCCACAAGAATGCACTCGGGAGGAGCAGTGGCTAGTTTTGAGCATCTCTTGATTCAAGTTCTAGCCAAGTGGCACCACTGAATAGCTCCTAGTTCACAAAGAGAATCCAAAAAGTCTCTTCCTTACCTAAGAGCAGGAAGAGGAGAGGGGAAGGGGGAGGAGCAGAGGTGGCATTCAGCAGGTTCTGAGCAGTTCTGGAGAACCGGTAGCGGAAATTTTGAGTAGTTCGGAGAACCGGAAAATCCCACCTCTGACTGTCCCTGCCCTCATCTATTCTCTGCCTCCCATGGAGTCCCAGCTGATCGGCTGGGTCTCCTTTGGTTGCCCTGCACAGGAGAACAAAAGCAGGATAGTGGGTGTGGAGGGGATGGGGATTTTGAAGTACCCTTCCCCTGCCATACCCACCAAGCCACGCCCACCCAGCCACACCAACCCCACCAAGCCACGCTCTCAGAACTGGTTTTAAAATATTTTGAATCGAGAGGAAGAGGGAGGAGGAGGAGAAGAAGAAGAAACACAAAGCAATCTGCTTCTTCAAAGCTGGGGTGGCTAGCAACTTTCATGATGTCCAGAAAATCTGTGAGTCATTGGGTCATCCATTGAGAGGAAGGTAGCACAGTCTGATGTCACCAGAATGAACATTAGATTTTCCTGAATGATACTGCTACGTATCGTTTTGCTTCGAAAATAAACAGAGGCATGCAAAAATGCAGCAGAAATGGGAGTGACTACGAAGTTCCTGGCGACTTCTTGCTGACTTTACTTGTGGGAAGCTGGCAGGGAGTGTTGGAAATCACAAACGTGTGACCACATGGAAGTTGCAACAGTCACAACTTTGCAAATAAAACTGGTTTGAACATCATGGCTCGGGAATTCTGGGAATTGAAGTCCACATGCCTTAAAGTTGATGTGAAGTTGAGAAACGCTGCCTTAGAGACCCTGCCTAGATGCTGCACCTTCCACGGTTGCACTCCTCTCCAAGGCTGGTGATGTGGTGAGCCAGCAGTGAAAAGACATGGTGTAAGGTTGGATCTTTTCAGGTAGAGCCTTTTCATACACTAAGTGTTCCAGCTCTATGCACATGTATCAGTGCAGTTACACAGAGAAGAATAGAATTGGGCAAGAGAGAAATTCGTTTGTGGTGAAATTTTGAATGCTGCAATTTCAAACCAAAGCACGAGCCCAAACATGTCTCAAGTCACAGTTTCCCAAATTTTGCAAGCCAGGGCATTTGTTTGACAACAACAGGGAAAAGCCTACATAGAAATACTGCTGTTAATGACAATTATACAGACATGCATGACATTAAAACGAGCATTTGCAAACACGCATAAAGCAGGAAGACGGCAAACAGAAATCTCTGCGCTTGGAGAGCTCAAAAGAAGATTCTAAGTTTGGCAATTCAGCTCAAGTGATATATTGTAAAGAGAAAGTGGGGGGAAGCTGAAATTTTAAATGACAAGACCCTGCAATTCTCTGATTGGCCCATTTTTACATGTAGGTCACGTGCTTGCAAAACCTATGGCTTTGGGGGGGGGCGTTGCATGCTCCCCCATTATCCATGAAGAGGCCTTCCTGTTTTCTCATAGGATGGCACTCCGAAAATCAAAAAGATTCAACCAGTACATGTACATTTTAAATACTCAGTTTTAAACCACCAGAACAATTCAGTGGCTGGGATTCTTGTAACCCCTTTGCTATCCTACTGCAATAAATCTTGCTAAAGAAAACTCTGGAGGATTTTGCTGGGAAGGAATCATTTTTTATTTTAAGTAGCTGGCAAAAAGGCAGAATCCGATTCCTCCTATCTTTTAACTCAGAAAAGGACCCCAAACAGTCTGCAACTATATATTTCAATGTCAACGTGCAATAAAAATCACGGCCCCTATAAACCTAAGCAACCAGGTTGGAAAAAGGGCCATATTAGGGCCTGTTTCTTTCTCTGTCCACAAATCCCTTTTGCCGTTTTGAAACAGCAGAATTTCGCACAATGGACTTCCTACCAGCCTCCAATAAAGAAGAAGAGAAGCCCTCGGCAAAGGATATTTTCTTAAAAGAAAAATGAACAGCTCAGCAATTCCTGCAGAGCAAAGTGAATTTCCTGAATTAATTCCTCTGCAGGGTTTCCTGAATTCCAAGAAACAAGCACCAACTAATGTGACAAAACAAACAAACAAACAAACGGCAGTTCTTGACCTGTTCACACTGCTCTGTTTCTTTCCTGTCCAGAGGAGGTGATGGTAGCCAATGTTAATATATCGCAGGGCAGCAGGAGTTTCTCAGTTCCCCACCCCCACCCACCCCCGCCCAATGTTGTAAAACAATGCTGCAGCTATGCCACTGGGATGAGAACATCTACACATGGAAATAAAAGACACACTTCCAGAGCGGAATAGGACAACTCGCTAGGGCCAACCCACTGTGGCTAACTGTCCACTGTCAACTTGGCAAGGCCAACTTGTCATGGCTAACTCGCCACGGGATAATTCAACAATTCCATTTCATTATTTAAAATAATATTGAGATTTTTGTCGTTCACATTTCATCTGGTTCCTCCTTTTGCATCCTTTCTTTAATGATTCTATTCCACCACTTCTTTGATATTGGTGTAACTCTTGTCCCACGGTGAATTATCCTGCAGTGAGTTGATTCACAGTGAATTGGCCACAGCAAGCTGGCTGCGGTGGCAAGTTTGCTGTAGTGTTGGAAGAAAAATTGAGGTCCAATTCCAAGCTGGAAATAAAATGAAGGTTGATCGGAAAGAAAGTTTATTGATAAACAGAACCACCACACACACAATGTGCAATTTGGGGACAGCTGACAAAATGGAGTTGAGAGTGAGTTATATCTTCTGGATTCCTATGGTGTCATGTAGGGGGGTCATGCCTGGCTCTATAGGCAAAAGGGGAAATGCAAATCTGAGGCAATAGCCTGAGCTAATCATTGTCTTGCCTAATTGCTTATCTGGAGTTTTCTCTGACCTGGTCTTTCTGAATGGATCACCAAATCTGCATTTCTAAAAGCTCACCTCCTCCGTTTTTCTTTGGGACAGGGAGACTGGTGCTGATTTCTGCCTCCCTTAAGATTTTTTTCCATTTCTCCTTTAGGGGAAATATTATATCCTGCCATTTTAATATTCCCCAAATATTTCATTCTCTAGGAAGGTGGGTGGGTGTTGACTTTCTACAGCGGTGAGTTGGCTGCAGCGAGTTGACCAAGACTCCTTTCCAGAGAGATGCAGATTCTTCACGGACCTACACCAGAGTTGCTGACCAACAGAAAGAGCCATCTGCTTAGCGCAACTGATCCAGGCAGCACTCAAGGTTGAAGGCCCAGCTGTACTTCTCACCTTCTGTCTCTGGTGTAGCATCTAAAGATACTCTTTCTGTCCCATCAGGGAAGATTCAACTGCTGATCTGGTGGGTTCCCAATGCTAGGAGGAGGAGCAGAAGATGCTCCTTGTGGCTTCAGCTCAGACAGAAACTGCCTTGAGCTGATCTGGAACATCCACTGTTTGCAATGTTATTCAAGTGTCACTTCAGGAATAAAAATAAGTTTTCCATTCAACCATTGAATGGAAGGACGAGTCTTCAGGAGAATTGAGAAGGAGACCTCACAAGAAGGAGGACTAACGTCTTTTGAAGACATCATAGGAGGAAGAGAAGCAAAGAAACAAGAACTCAGAGAAAAGGATAAAATATTTTTTTTAAAAAAAAACAGGAGAATGAATAACAGCAAAGGGCTCCAACATTCTGTGCCTTAACAATAATATAGGTAGTCCTCAACTTTTTCATTAGCAACCATTTGAAGTTACCATGGCACTATAAAAAGTGACTTACAAGCAATTCTTGCACTTATGATTGTCACAGCATCCTCATGGTCAAATATAGATTCGGGTGATTATGAAGGCTGTAGCACCCCGGAGTCACATGGTCACCATCTGTGACCTGCCCAGCCAGCTTCCAGCAAACAAGGTCAGTGGGAGAAGTTGGATTTGCTTAATAACCAGCTGCATGCTTTACTTAACAACTGCAATGATTTGCATAACAAGCATGGCAAAAAAGGTCGCAAAATTGGGCACAACTCACTTAATAACCACTTCGCTTGGCAATGGAAATTCTGATCCCCATTTGTCATAAGTTGAAGACGACCTGTATGGCTTCTCCCCTACAAACAAGGCAACTAGAATGAAGAAAGGAAATGTGTTTTGGAAAAACTAGATGTGTCATTTTGTGTGAAGAGATCAAGAGCTGAAAATGTCAGTAATGCCAAAGGTTTTGAAAGGCTGCCCTATGAAACTTGCTAAGTATACATAAAATATTTATCTTCTTCAGCCTAGCAAAGACTCAAAAGTGGCTGAATGTTGACTTTTTCAAATATAACTGTCACTTTACATTGATTAAATAGCTCTTAGGCACAGACCTGGCAAAAAAAAAATAGGCCCGCTGTTTTTTTTAGTTGCACCACCTTAAAAAGAAGAATTAACTAAACCAATAATGTGAAATACAAAAGGTGTAGGAGAGTGCAGGCAGAACTAGGACGTGGAGTTAAACATGTCAACAGCTTAGCGTTCTTACGTTGTCACAAACAATCCAAGTTCTAGACCCCCTTGAATTCCTTTGACCTTTATTTAGTGCCAATTTAGTGCCAAAGAGTTGTTAATCAACTCCTCTGTATAGGCTTGAATAAATCTTCTATGCTGCAATCTAGCGGATGGTCCTGATTCCTTACGCTTAACAAACCCCTGTAACTTAATTCTTCAGCAAATACACTCAGGCCTGGTGAACAAGCACGAGACTTAAGAATGAGTCTCTTCCGACATTGATAAACTGGATGCTGTATGATGTGGTTATCTGAGGAACTGTTGCACCGCAGTGGGATTGGCCTGCCCCACCCACATCAGCAAAAGTGGCATGCTGTGGACTCTGTCGGTCAAGGAATTCTGGCTTGTGGGGTCTGGAAGAAGAGCCTTTTTTGCCATGGCTCCTCCTGTCCTCCAGAACATAGCGCCTCTTGGCCATGCCAACATCAGACCTCTTGGCCTTGCGGAAAGGTGTGAACAGCTGACTCTGCCAACTGGTCCGAGGTTCATTCTGGAGGATTAAGGTAGGACACCACCTCGTCTCTGTGTGCATTTTGCTCCCTTCCTCCCCATCTTTTGTCAATTTTAATCCGGTGTAACGTGACCGTTTACTGTTTTAACATCGTGGTTTTAATCGATTGTAAGCTGCCTAAAGTTTCTCTAGGCGAGAGGAGGGCAGATAATCCAAATAAATAAATAAATACACAAAAGAGTGTTTTTCAGAAGGTGGCAGAAGATGTAGAAGATACTGAAAAGTTACTGGAAAGAAAAGAGTGCAACTGTTCAACGATGAAGGAAAAGCAGTCCAGATGTATTTGGAGATCCTCTGTGTTATCATGACAACACAGAACGGAATCTTAATTCAAACCGACAAGTCCCTTTTTCAGAGCCCCTGATCCTGAAGGCGACTAAGTCATAGGCTATTTCCCCAGCAATAACTTACAGCATCCTTGAGTCATCTCCACTGGCAATCTATCACCAGGAGAACGGTTCTAAATCTCTCTGCTATTGCTTGAATGAGGCTGTGAATCACCAGTGTGGAAATGAGAGTTGCTGGACTGACTCTAAAAGACATAAATGGCCACATTCTAATTTGGCAGAAATTCCTGCCAATTGAACCTTCTCCAACTTGGTGCCCAGGAAATGTGCGGAATTCCAGTTCCAGTTCTTCATTTGCACCAGTGTCCCAACCTGTTCAATCCACTAAAGAGATGGTGGGAACTCTTTTTTTTAATCTACACACACACACACACACACACACACACACACACACACACAAAATGAAGCCATGTCTTTATCTTAATCCAGACCACATTACATGAAATATTCCCTTCTACAAAGCCACTGAAGGTTTCAGTGACCTGGTTATTTTTATTTATTTAAACTATCTAAAAAAAAATAATAATACAGTCCCAGCTTAAAGGTTTAAAGGAAAACAAAACCGCTCAAGTATCAATTATTAATGCAAAAGTTTCTTTGGTGTTTCTCTAACTTCACATCAAGTGTGGAAATGTAAGAATATAGATACTGATTAACAGTAAGAAAGTAATTGTTGATCCACCATACAAAGGTTGTCCTAGCCTAGCAGGTCAGATTAATATTGGTAAAGTGCTTTAAACACTGCACACACACACACACACACACACACACACACACACACACACACACACACCCATAAGAAGTATAGTCTTTCCTACTCAATGGCTGTACATCTCCCCCTCTTAAATTTAAAATCTGTATCAAGTGAATACGAATTCTCTGCTCACAAGTAAGTATTGTAAGTTTTCAAGGGTTACACAATTCTGGGTATTATCATGGTTTAGTTACTTTAATTATATCAATTCCTACCCACCTCAAAAAACTCTCAAACAAGGTGGCAAAACCCTTAACTCCCAAAGAAAGAAATTCTGCCCACTCCAAAGTGGGGAGGAGAGAATAATTACCTCAGCCAGCAAGTCAAAATGTACTTTTGGCTTTCACATCCTACACAGACTCCAATTTTTAAACCACCCCCTTTCGTTTAAGACTATAAGCCTGAGTCTCTCTAGCTCTCCCCCCACCTCGAATGTGTGTGTGTGTGTGTGAGAGAGAGAGAGAGATTGAGTGTGTGAGTGTGTGTGTGTGTGAGAGAGAGAGAGAAAGTGTGTGTGAGAGAGTGTGTGAGTGTGTGAGGGAGAGAGAGGGTGTGAGTGTGTGTGTGTGAGGGAGGGAGAGAGAGAGAGAGAGAGAGACTGACTGACTGACTGACCGACCGAAGGAGCCCGTTTTGCGCTTTAAAGCCACCCCCCTCTGTTCGAAACCCGCGACCTGCACAGATGGAAGAGCTCCGATTCGAAGGGAAAAGAAGCCGTTTTTAACCTTGGCCAATTTGCCACGACTCAGAGAAACCAAAACGTGGGTGAATAACTAACGGGCTCAGCTTGGGATCTCTTTTGGGGGGATCCGCTTTAAAAGATGTTTTTTTTTAAAAAAAAAGCGAAAAAGTGAGGTATTTATGTATTACGAAAGGGGAGCGGAAGCCTGTGTGAAGGTTTCTTCAGCCTAAGACCGCAGGTGTTGGGAGCCGCAGCCCGAAGCCCTCGGAGAGTCCTAAATAAGGACCGAAAAGCGGTGGCGAGGGAGCGACCCACCTGAGGGACCCAGGGGGGAGAAGAAGGCCAGGGACGGGGCTGTCCGCGCTTCTTGCAGAAGGCAGGACGACTCGCTTCGCCAACTCCCCCCGGCGCTCTCCAGGTCCCGCGGCTCCTTCTCCGGGAAATCCACCCTCAAAGGGGCGGCGGGGAAGGGAGAGGCGCGCGGCCACGCCGGGAGGCAGCTCCCACGCGGGCAGCGAGCGCCTGGGCGTTTCGGCCACCGAGGTGGCGTCCCTCGGCCGGGTCGGCGGCGGGCAAGAAGAGGCGGGCGCGCTTCTCGGCGGCGCTGGCCCTTCGGAGTCCTCCGCCCGCGGGGATGCCCGGCCTTCCCCCGATCCGCGGCTGGCACTCACCTTCTCCCGGGCAGGACTCTTTAGCGGGGCGCCCCGGAGCGTCTTCTCGCACCGCTCGCCGCCGTCGCCATCGCCCGCCGCGCTGCTCGGGGTGCGCCCCAGCCGGCCGGCCCCTCCCCGGGCGTCCTGCTTCAGGTGATGCGGCGGGCTGGGCTGGGCTGGCTCAGGCGGGGACAAGCCCGCTTCCTCCTCCTCCGTCCCGGCTGCTGGCTGAGAAGGAGCGAGCCTCGGCGCCTGCTTTTTCGCCCAAGAGAAGAGGAAGCGGGTCCTGCGCCCACCCTCCCACAACCCGGCCAGGGAGGTGGTGGGGAGGGAAAATAGCGCTCTGAAGCATGTGCAGAGCGCGCCCCTCTACCGCTGGCTCTGAGGGTGCCAAGGCAGCCACCTCGTTGTGTTTTCCTTCTCCCTCCCCGCCCCGTGGTGGGAGTTTCGCTTATTAAAATGTACCCGAAGCATTTGCTTTTTGAAATTACTAATAACCTAAGTATAGGCAGAGAGGCGGTAGACGTCACTGTGTAAAAACTGAGTTACACCTCATGAAGCGTAAAATCACCCAGCTGCGCCCCCCCCCCCCCAGCATCTTGGTTTTATCAAACAACCTTTCCTGGTTTTAATTATTTTATTTTGCATGTCATCTTGAGGACTAGTCAGTGACCAGCAAAATTAAAACACATTCACACACATTTTCCTTTACAAGCAAGAGAGCCAGTTCTGGAGTGGGTGAAGAGGTGAAATGGGAATATTAAAGTATCTACAACAGAGTTAGGCACTTTTCGGCTATAGTGCAGGAATCTGGTGCAAGAATCCCCAAATGATTGCAGCAGAGAAGATAAAAGTCACTTCCTGGTTTCCCAGATAAACCTGCAAGGAGATAAATGAACTTTGTCCGATGAACAGGTGGAGGAAACTTTCCTCGCTTCCAGTTCAGGTGTGGCTAGAAGCAAAGTTCCTAGGTAGCCTTGGAGGTTTGGTTGTAGTCTAAATCAGAACATGGGCCTGGAAGTCACAGACTGACTTCATGTAACTTAAAAGAGAAGCCACATTTTCCTTGCCTAGGAATGATTAAATGAATTGCATCGAACTCAAGATAAAATTAATTTAGGCTTAATGCAACCTTCTCTGGAGGTGTTTGGTGGCTCAGCAGTTAAAGACGTAGAGCTTGTGACAACCCGAGTTTGAAACATGAGCGCTGCACAATGGGGTCAGCTCTTTTTCCCAGCTCCTGCCCATCCAGCGGTTCAAAAGCATGCAAATGCAAGTAGATAAATAGGTACCACTTTTTCCATGCGGCTCGGCATATAGTCATGCTGGCCACATGTTCACGGAAAAATGGAGAGGAGCACCGCCTCCCCTCCCCGAATTGTATCAAGTGGACAGGGGAAATCTTTACCTTTACTCTTACAACCACCTCCAATTTGGATGGCCCCAGCATAGGTGTCCAGCACTGGTTGTGAGGCCACGTGCATCATGTAAATCACGTGCAACATTTCTGTTTTTGTTTTGTGGGACAATGTCATCTCACCATTGATGCCACTTCCCTTGAGGAGGCCCTGCCCTCTGGAAGGGGATTTTAGCAAAGGATGCGTTGGCTAAGAATTCTTGGAATTGAAACCAATACACCGGGAAGGTATGGGTTCCAGTCCCGATTGTGGGAGATGGGCTTGGAGAGGTTCTAGGATCCCAGCTCACAGCCTCCTTGCGCTGCGGGAGACTTCATGTTTTTCTGTTTAGATTGTATTCATGATTTGCAAAGATATGTGCAGATAGCCTTGACTTATGAATGAAATAGAGCCTGCTCATTATGGTCATATGTTGCAATGCTTGTGAAGTGGACCATCCTTCGAGGGGCTCAATTTTACAACTTTTGGTTACAGCGGTCATTAAGCAAATGCGTTGTTCTCTATGGAGCAATTTTAGCAAAAGCTGGAAAACACCATAATTTGCTGAGCACCCCAAATACGGTCAAATAACCGCGAGGTTGGGGTGATGGTGGTTGTGGCCATCAGAACCAGGTCATAACTACGCTTTTAGGGTCCTGCCCACTGCTAGAAGTGACCTATGGTGAGCATCCATGTTCTTCCTAGGGGCCTTTCAAACGTGGCTTCTCTTCAAAACTGATCTTGCTGTCCCTTAAAACTTCTTGGCACTCAAACAAGCAGGATCTCCACTTGCCCCCTCTGGGCCTAAAAGTTCAGATTTGGATTTTTTTTCTTTCTAAAGCAATGATTAAAAATGCACTTTAAAACACACGTGCTGGTAGTTCTTCTCAGAAACTACATTTTAATGTAGAAGGAAGGACCAGGTTTGTCTATTTATCCAAACATTTGAAAGAATCTGCTAGCCCCTTTTCTCAAGACGGACAAATTTTATTAAAAAGCACAAGTTTTGCTTCTGGGTTTCAACATGAGCTCATTTTGAAGAAAGGAAGGGCTGCAGGGCACACAATATTAGTTTCTTCGCCTTCTGACTCCCTCCTACACAAGCCGAGTCCTGCACAAGCCGTTTAACTCTCTGCTGGCTTGCCGCTTTCCACCCAAGGGCCACGTTCTACATTTAGATGAATGGGCCCATTGATTGAGCTTCTCCTCGCCCTAAAACTGAAGCTGGAGGAACCACATGGCCAAATTCTCTTTTCGTTCATTGCTGAACTAATGCCCCTTCCTGCAGATTTAAACAAGCATGTTTGCCCACAAGCTATTTTTACTCTGCGCGGGGAGATTTTTCTTTTTCCACACAGAGCTGCATTCCACGTACTGTACCGTCTCTCCCGCCTGCCCCCCCACCCCAAAAGGGTGTCTAGTCCAGCAGAAACTTCTTAGTTGATTTTGTGGAACGTTTATGCGTTCCGTCTCATTTCAATTTAGTTTTTTTCATTTTTCTCTTCTGTAATGGAAATCTAAGGTCTCCCATAAGTCAAGCTCAAAATTCTGTGGATGATTTTTTTTAAAAAAATAACTGATTTCTTTGTGTTGCTTTTCTGGTCTCCACCCCGAAATTTCCAGACTAGTTTAATTTCCTGGTAGTCCAGTGTTTTTCTAATTTAGAAAATTTAAGATGTGTGGACTTCCAACTCCCAGAATTCCCCAGTTGGCACAGCAACCACCACTGGTCTCACATCAAATAATGAATATTGAAATCTATTGAAAGGTTTCCTCACTGGCATGCAAGTCCAAAGTTTCTTTGGAGCTGTGCAGGAATATTTAATTCTGTTCCTCCTCCAGGTGGCCTGTGAAGCTCCATTTCACAAAAGACTCTTTCACCTTGTTTATTTTCACAAACATGAATGCAACCATTTATTTTTTGTAACTGCAGAAGAGGCTTAGCAGTTTTCTGGCAAAATAATAGCATAATACTCCAGAAATGCAACAAGAGCTATGCGTGAGTAAACAGTAAGTAAATATTTACAGTTCTGGAAGAAAGAACTGTTATAGTAAAAGGAGGCAAAGTTTGTTAAGATTTATATTAGGCAGAATAGGCCTAAATTAGACCTGGCTGTTTAATGATTTGCAAGACGGCTGCTCCTTATCTCTTTAATTAAATTGTGTTAACTGGGAAAACAATTACGTTTCACAATGGCAGGCTCCACACCTGGATGATTTTGTAATTTGTTCATTCCGATTCTCTTTATATACTCTACTGGCTATACAATGAAACCCTATTAACACAGAGAAGCAAAGATATGCAATATTTAAAAAAAAAAAACCCAAAAGCATTTTTTTCACAGATTGAACATCTTTCCTGCTGCCACTGTTAACACACAGGATTTTATTTATTACCTTGTGAAAACTGGATCCTTTCCCTCTATTGACTTTGAAACTTGCAAAATACTTCACTAACCAACTACAATAGCTTCAATAGCACTGATTATTCTGTTTCCTGATCAGCCTAAATAGAAATAAAAAGATCACAGTGTTTGTTGAAAGATAATACAGATCACGTAACATCACTTGGCTGCAAATATTATGTAATGCAAGCCATGGAATATGTTAAGCCTTTACAAAGCATGTGAAGAACAGAGAGAGAATATACAACAGTGTGTCAAATCAATCTCAAGGCCAGTTGTTCTGTTTTCAAAATGGCCCACCAGGTGCCTATGAGATTCACAATAAAGCCGTCTGAATCTCTTCGGTGCTGTGGATGGAAAAAAAATATTAAAACCCACTTTTATCTATGGTATATAATACTAAAACTCTCATGTCTGTAACCTTAGGTGGGTGAAGTGATGTTTCATAGGGTAAAACATTTCAATCAAGGTCCCCCAAACGGGCTAACTTACAGGAATGTGTCCAAAATGTGATTTTCGTGGAATTGAAATTTGGCAATTTTTATAAAACATGTTACGACATAATCATTGATTTCTTTTAATGGATGAATACAAGACGTCATAAAACATTTCCTGTGATCAGTTCCTGATGTTGACTGTGCTATACAGTTCATCAAGAAGGATTATTTTCAAGTCAGATACATCTTTGAAAACCTCCCTGAATTTTTAAGAACATTTCCAGTACATCAGAAGAGCACCAGCCCACAGTCTGCCAGGAACCAGCAAACGAAGCCCCATCTGGGCACTTGCAGAACCACAAGTCCACGCTCCCACTCCTCTGTGGAAAAAATGCTCTCCACAGAACCACCCCAAGGTGCCCAAAAGGTTAGGGGTCGCCCAAAAGGTTAGGGGTCGCTGCATTAGAAATTCTGCTGTTTTGAAGGCATTGAGGAATCTGGTAAGGAATTACCTCCAAAACAATGACCCAACTCACTTGTTATCTAGTACCAATTAGCATGTATAAAATAAAAACTGCAGACAAAAGGAAACCAAATTTCATACTTGGGTAGGGCTGCAATGATTTTTCTCTGCTTACTTTCCTTTTTGCTGCCCTCAATGGTGTTGAAAGTTCTCTGCCCAAGAGGTGCCACAACCATTTTACAGAGAAAAAACAAGGCAGCTCAACGGCCACATATTTTGTTGTCCTCCCAAAAGTTCTGCTGATCACCATCAGAAGGGATAAGCAAATCTTCTCTCTCGCTCTTCCCCCCTCTCTCTCTCTCTCTCTCTCTCTCTCTGTACATTTGAAAGTAGGTAGGGAATCACATGGCCCCAAACCATACACTGCCAACCGGGTTGGGATGCAAATATTTTTACTACCGGATCTGTGGGCTCGGCTAGGTGGGAGTGGCTAGGTGGCCATGGCCATGGGACTGGGCAGGCGTGGCTTCTTTTTTTGTGCGGCCCCCGCCCACCCATCTGTTTTATTTTGCCTCTTGGGCCTCAGGGAAGCCTCCTGGGAGGCCGTTTTTTTGCTTAGGAAGGCAAAAACTGGAGCGTGTGTGCGGGAGGGGGAGTGTGCGCCCCTTTTCGTCTCCTCAGGCAAGCCTCCTGGGCAAAGCAGTAAGACAGCAAGGGGGATCCCGGCACAGCTGATCATTGGAACAGCTAAGCAACCTGGTTCGGCCAAACCGGTAGCTGCTTTTTTACTACTCGTTCAGCCGAACTGTAGCATTTTTTACTACCGGTTCGCCTGAACCAGTCCGAAGCGGTAGAATCCCTGCCAACATGTGTTGTACCTATTTTCCTGAGGGATGAATAAAAGAGCATACCCAGCATTTTCAGTGCCCTCCTCACTAGCATTTTGAGAATGGAGTTGAGAATGTAGGAGGTAATGAAAGGCTGAGACCCCAATCTCCACATTCTACAACAGTGTGCTAGCAAACCTCACAACTTTTGAGTTTCTTGTCATATTGCTCTATAATCCATCAGTAACAAGAGAATGAAGCACCCAACTTCACAAATGCAGAGGGCCAGCGAAATTCCTGGATATCATTTAATGGACTCTAATTTTGCTCAAATGGTGTTCAGTACTCCACAATATACCACTGCAGCAGTGACAAAGCAGAGTCCTCACCATTTTACTGTCAATAATCAATAATTCTCTATAGAATACGTGTATCGAATTTTGTTTTGACTTCATATTAGAATCAAGTCATTGTAGGAAAGTTCAGAATAAGGTTGACTCTGGCAGCCTTTAGTCACCTCCTTCTAATTAATACATTTGCATCAAAAGAGCTTACGTAAGTTGCAATGATCCTTCAGATTCTAATATATTAGATGACTGCTTCAAGACCACCCTGTAAAATTGAGTGATACAGGGTTTTAAAATGACCAGACATTATTCACCTACTACTAATGCAAAATCCTGCTTAAGGTTAAATAATACTATCTTGAATCACTATAAGCAGTTAGGCATCACTTGTGATTTCCTCACTTTTCCTGATGGTAAAAATACAAAGAGTTCAAAGGGACTTTTTTTTCTGAGAGTTGGGCCAAGAAGAGATTAAAAGATGAGCAGCAGAACTAGAGCTGCTCATCTTTTCATCTCTAATTTTAACTCTGAGATACAAAAATTCAATGACCGCTAGGGGCAACAAAGAGAACAGCAATAGAAAACTGTATGTGCTGCCATCTGGTGGTCATCTGCATTTCGGCTGCTCAAATCTAGCGATTCTAAAGAAGATGGGATAACCGTCTCCAACTCTAGGCTGCATCAACAAAAAGAGAAAAGGTGGAAAATTGACTCTACCCTGAATTCAATCTGGATCACAAAGAATCTGTAGTGATTGATGATTATAGAGATAAAATAGAACCCAACACTTCCTTTATCTGTTTTTCCGTTTATTTCAGCCATAAAAAGTATTTACTGTCAGACATGTAGTATTACAGAAATAATTGAATAAAGGTGGTATTTAGCAGAAAGACATTGGGAAGAGAAAGGCAGGCACAGAGAACAATTTGCACAACTGGTCTAACCTTATTTCTCAAGTTTCTGTACCTGAACGGTCACCTTCCTCCTGCACAGCGTAATGCAAGTTATCTTGATGTACCTCTTCCTTCCTTCCTCAGAAATAATTAAGCTACATGATTTGATGCCAGGGAGAAAAAGAAAATCAGGCAATAAACAAGAAATTCAACCAGAAGCTCACTGGGAAATGTTGACTTGTATTCTCTATAAGACTGATTCACATATTGCATAAGACATAATGCAGCTGGTTTCTTTTTGGCTTAGCTTCATCAATAAACCAGGTTACTATGGCTTGTAGAACAAACCATGGCTAAACATCTTGGCACAGCATGTGTGACCTGATCCTATAAATGATAAATACATACACAAATGGAAAACAGTTAAAGTGATGGGAAAGTGAAGATGGGAGGGCTATCTACTTGCTTGGCTAACCAGAATATTCTGAAAACAGACAATGAAGAACAAGCTTCAGCAGAAGACACTCCTTGCTCCGGAAATATCTCCTGTACGACATAAGCATAGTAGGTGGAAAACTACAGATTAGGAAGATGTGCCCCAAAGATAATGAACCCATTCTTCACTGTATCCTTGCAAGCATTTCAATTTTTAAATTTTTTCCTAATTGCAGTGGGCAGAAAAGAACTATTACAACTCCCAATTTTTTTTTTTGTCTTACACCAATTCACAAGAATACCTTGACATTCAATACACACAACTATGGCACCTATAAGAAAAAAACAAACAAACCCAGAAACCACAAAAACAAACCTGCTTGAATATTTGATTCTATCACCTCAAAAACAGTTTGAGATTCTCCTACTGATAACAATGTACATTGTACATTACATGTATAATTTGTCACTAGATTATTTAGAACATCGAGTGAATCAGATCCATGGTATACATCAGCACACAAAAATATGCATGAGAGACTCACATACAAAACCCTGTGGTAGCCCATATATAAATGGCAGCAGCCAAGTTCCTTCGGCCTTACAAACACCAAGAGGACGGTAACACAGATTACCAGAAATGGCACTCTTCTAGGATTGGCAGCCTAGTGGATTTGCTACATCTTGGAAGTTGACCTTAAAGTGCTCTTCAAAATGTCTTCTTGATGCGAGATGACCGCAAGAGGAGTCCGTTGCTGCTATGCAGGATGCAGCAATGCAAATGGGAGTAATCATCCACTGCCAGGATTAAATAGCTTCGAATCAGTAGTGCACCCCACCTCCTACTTCTAGCATACATTCAAGAGTTTTTGCTTCACTTATTAAGGCAGATGGTGGGTCCGGGCGCCGAGTTTGCACTATCTTCTGCTTGGGATTTTTCACTTCATCTTCCTCTTCGGTTTCACTTTCACACACATGGACCACGACGCTTGGAGTGGATTCGGTTCCAGCATGAAGTTCGTACTTTTCCCCTAGAGAGGATAACAGGCATGGTAAGCAACCCTTCATACCAGCGCTCCTCAACCCTGACCACTTTAAGATGTGTGGATTTCAAGTCCCAGAATTCTCTAGCCAGCTTGCTGTACACTTGCCATAGTGACCGTAACTTCCCAAACTGCCTCTAATTCAATGTCCAAGAAAGGCAGAGTCCTCCAGAACTATAAACCCGGCGAAGTCTGCTGCCAGCCCAGTTAGGGCACTGAGCAGCAAAGGTCTGTTATACAGCGGGAAGGCTGGCAGAGGGGCAACAATGCCCCTTGAATTCTTATGTCCTATTTCACAAATGAGAGTGGTGCCACAGTCAAAACCAGGATGAGCACATCCTTCCAAGCTCTTTAATTATCATACTTATTGTATACAGACTGATAATTTCTGGGGGCCTCCAGATATATTAGACATCAATGCCCCATGTTTGTGCTGAAAGCCAATACAATTCAAGGGCACCATGTTGGAGAACAATAATATAGTATCTGATGTACAGATACAAATTTTATAGAACTTTACCAGAACGGTTGTCATATAATTGAACACAAAGCCCCCAATATAATATTTTGAACCAAGGTGCCATATTTGACTATTTTCTATGGTTTATCGTGAAAAACTGCTTTTAACTTCAAGAGCTCTGAAACTGGAAGAGGCCAAGGTCCTACCTAGACCAGAAAATTATGCTACAGATTGGCCAATTCATGGAGCTCACAAACATGACATGAAGATTAATTGGTTTCTTTTATTATGACTTAAAGGATATCTCAAGTCCTTTAATGGTTAATTAAATATCCATCAAAGTTCATACTCATTAATAGCCCGAGTCTACTACAAACATGCCCATTTCCCTTCTAAAACTATCTAAAATGTGTCATCATCATCTTTGACAGCGGTGAATTCCTCAGTACTAGGCCTTGTATGGAGATAAATGCATCAGTACAGAATATGGGAGAAAATAAAACATTCCTACCAGGCCCCAATTTTGAAACAGCGCAAAGCAAGTCATAGTTTATCATAGGAGTAGCATCTTCACTCTGCTTCCAGCCTACAGGTGGGGATGCAGGAGGTGAGATCAGGAACTGTTTGGTAGGTTGCGGGGGCAAAAGGTAAGATTTGTCTCCCACTTCGCTCGGCACCTGAACCTGAAAGAACAAATGTTGTCAGAACACTAAGGCACATAATACTGTATATCAGGTTGTTGTTGTTTTTTACCAAGTCTCTCTAGTCCTGCTTTCTCCTTTAATATTTCCACTAAAAATGCTGGGAGTTATTGTATAATATATCACATCTAGAGGACACAAGATTGGGAAAGCTATAAAGATTATTTAAGGTTGTATTTCACTGACTGTACAAGGCACTGGATTCCAAGTGCATAGTTAATTTCCTTCTAGCTATTTGAGTTAAACAGTTACCAGGGTAGTTAGTAAATAACACATTGCTTGAACCAAATTAAGTACCATCCATTAAGTATCCACTTATTCAGTGTTCCAACAAGAAAGGTCATTCCTATTTTATTTTACAGCTGCACAAGCTACTGAAGACTCCCTGCAGAATCAGTGGCTAAGCTAAGATTTTAACTCCAGCCATGAAGTAGAATTTTTTGTGACCTTCCAATATTTTTAACAGCCTATATAGCTATGTAGATAGCCTACAGTTTACGGGAAATGTTGCTGAATTCTGAGCAGATGAAAATGAATTTTAAAAAGGTAGGAAAATTCTGTGTCGGGTTCCATACATTGCAGAGTTTCTTGCCTATTTGTAGGACTACCAGAGTGGAAATAAAGAAGAGAGACATTCTGAGTAACTCATGCAGGGCACAGAAACAATAATAATGATCATCTTTTCTTAATGACTCCATAATCCCTTGCAGGCTGGAGTCTGGGCAACTGAATAGAGCCGAGTGTTTACTGGCCGAATGCCCTTCCTGTCACCAATGCAGAGTTTTGTTCAGCAGATATATTCTCATTCAGGGCACAGAAATAATATCCTGTAAAAAAATAATCTTTTTTAAAAATGAAGCGTTCTTTGCCCAGCCCAGAACACTATTTGTGCTTTGTGTGTGTTTTTGTAGTATCGAGCTCAAGCAATCCTGGTTTTCTGATCATTAAGATAGAGCACACCGGAGCACATCTGCAAGAAATGGGAAGGTCCACATGCAGGTGACTTCCCGGCAGGCAGGATTTTCTCTATCCATTTTGTTTGTCAGCTGTCCTGACGGGCTATTTGTGAAGGATGCATTTAACTTCTCCAAGCCTATTTTTGTGGTGAAAGGACTACAGGTACCCTATGAAAGGTGTGTCTCTTGTCTCAGGAGCAGCATAAGGGTGGGCAGGGTTTGCCAGTAAGGATTTCAAACAAGCTTTTAAAAGGCAACTAACTAGCATAAAAATGTTGTACTAGTAAACAATATGGAGCAGAATTGAGGAGGCTCCCTGGGAACTATTTCTGTTTTTAATAGAAAGTGGGGGATTCAAATAAGAAACACATATACCTGGGCAAAATATAGCTTCAGTTTTTTCCCGTTGAAATCTGCCTCGTGGAGTTCTATCCGTGCTCTGGCTGCTGCTTCTGGATTGCTAAAGTTTATCCTTACTCTTCGGAAGCTTTTAAATAACTGGAATGTAACATGAGCGTCGTAGATTGTGAAAAGTGCTTCAAATCTTTCCTAAGGATAGGAAAAAGAAACACATAATGAAGGTACCACAAAGCTTACTTCAAAAAACAAACTTCTCTAGAATGTTGCTTAGTTAGTTTTTCTTTTTTCCCCCTTGATACTTTTATTGCAATATCTACAGAAAAATATAGGCTCGCATAATTACAGGTTTTCTTGTTTTTAAATAACCTGTGTTTAAAAGAGCATATAATGCTACTCTCATACTGCCATCTAATGGTTGCTATTATCAGTATTATTGCTTCTAGAGTAAAATACTGTATATACAGTAATTGAATAATGTCATCAAGTCAAAATTGACTCCTAGCAACCACAAAGACAGACCTTCTCCGGGGTGATCAGTCTCGGCCTGACCCTTCAGGCCTACCAATGATGCACCCATTATAATCTGCAACTAGCATGATTTTCAAATATATTAGCATCAGTCAGATTTTCATTGAACAACCGTTATAGCAATCCACACTTTCAAAGCCTTTTAGTTCACTATGGATTTAACATGGTTACAGATGAATTGTGCCTATAGAGAAATTTTCTCTGAGAATGCTTTACAGTGTTGTCACAATCATAGGAATCCCATGAAACAAAACACTTGAGTCGAGATATTATGGATTTTAAATGTAACCCAGTGATATTAGCACAATGGGCATTTGAACCCAAGTTTCAGATTTGCAAAACTAAGAGCTATTTGGACCAGGCTGAATCTGTAACATGAAAAATGCCCTTTATGTTTGCTTCAAGGCAAGTAGTTGGCTGTTCTCACAGATGACTTGTTTGTACAAGGCATTAAGCTCATTTAATTTTCATACCTGTACATATTACACGAAGCCCATGATTTTCAAACCATGTGCCAAGGTCTCTCAGGGTACCACAGTTAACTCACAGGAGCAATGGAAAATAACACAGTAACAGACTTCTAATGCACAAACTTCTAGGAGCATCATGAAAAAATTATGAAGACACTTAAGGGCAGCACAAACCAAGAAAGCTTGAGGACTTCCGCATTAAAAATGATAAATCTCAGCATACAACAGCCGAGTTCGCATAACTTGCCCATGGTTGCAACCTTGCCTTACCAAGATTTGTGAAACCTTTCAATGACTGTCAGTATAAAAATTGCTTCTTATCATCACAGTTTCTCTCTTCCAATATTCCAAATTTAGAACTGATGATCCTTCACAGGCAGATAAGAATCACAGTGTAAGCAGAATTCAGTAAGAATTCCTCTGCGTTTATTATTTCTCTAAGTCAGAAAAAAAAGGGCCTTCATCCTATTATCTTCCAGATACAGTACCATATGCTGCTTCATCCAGATAATGAGTATTACTGTTGTTTTTCCCACAAACAGCCACATTGCCTGCATTTTAGACTGATCTCTGGGTAGTCAGGGCAATCAGAATTGTAGTGCATTTCCAACGTTGGCCTGCTAAGCTAAGCATTTCTATAACTCCATATTGACCATGAGAAAAAATAAACCTAATACGGTATGTGCATAAAGGCAACACCTTTCTTAAGTCAAGGAAGATTTACTGAAGAATTAAGAAAGCTCTCCATGTCCAAATATAGCTGTATACCTTACTTGCAAATGGAAAGTTTTACTAAATGCAGATTATTTTATTTCCAAAAATGAGGGATTAACTATTCTTTTCTTGTCCTCTCAAACAATAAATTCATCAGTGACCTTAGTACTGGCTTCCTCTCTCAGCCTGCACTATCTTACAGGGTTGCTATGAGAAGGGGAAAGAGACTCCTATGTGCTTTCTTTAACTTTCAGCAAATGAATGAATCAGAGATGCTTTGCTGTAGTGGCTAAGAGGCTGGCCTAGAACCCAAAAGTCAGTGAGTTCTAGTCCCATTTTAGGCATGAAAACCAGCCGGATGGCTTTGGACCAGTTACTCTTTCTCAGCCCAATCTACCTCACAGGGTTGTTGTGCTGGGGAAAATAGGAGGAGGAAGGAGTATTGCTATGTCTGCTGCCTTTAGTTGTAAGATGGAATTTAAAAAAAACATGGGGGGGGGGAATCTTGTGATCTAACTCTAAATCCCACTACAGACATAGCTAAAAAAACAAACAAACCCCTACATCAATCATATCGTCTGGGATATCCTAGTTTCCCATTCAGGTACTAACCAGGTTTCAGCCTGCTTAGCTTTTGGTTCCCTTGAAAAATCAAGCACAGCTTAGTGTTGCTACCTGCTACCATCAAATACGGTCAATATTTGCATAGCTACCACTTTTTATTTACTAACATGCTGGAGAGGTATCCCTAAAATAATGGCATTTGCTGTCATTATACATATATGAAATTACAGGCAATCCCCAAAATCTTGTTAATTCTCTGCCTAATGCTTCCTATATGCAGTGTAAAAACTTTGTTGAACAGAACAGTGGCAGAAATCACCAGAACCCAGGCTGGTGAGATCTACCAAGTCAACTGCCCGTCCTCTGCATAAGCAAAGTATACTGGCCTGCCTAATGTTGGTGTTCGTTTTCATTACTATGTAATTTTGAGAGCTAGGAAAGTAGAGGAGTGTGGCTGCCAGTAGTGGATAATCCTGAGCAAGATTCACACCTCACATGTCGTCTGCCGGGACACTCTGTAAAAATGGGGCATCATATCCCCCCCTCAGGGTGACTACAGGGTCTCATGTCAAACTGAAGATCACATCGTGACCAGCTACAAACTGGGGGCATATCCCAGTATCTGATTTTTTTTAAAAAAAAAACTAAAAATGTCGTGCTTCAATGACATAGATCATTGAACATAGATCTTTTTAAACATAGATCTTTTTAACACTTATATTTTATTATGTTTTCTCTAATCTAGGTGAAATATATAGATTGCTAGTCCATGTATCATATGCTAAATAAATAAACTAGTCTGCCTTGTTAATCATGCAGCATAATCTACATTTAGAATTCCCCAGTCAGCAAAAGTGGAATGCTGGGAGTTGAAGTCCACACATCTTGAAGTTGCTGAGGATGGGAAACACTGGCCTAAATTCTTAACATTTCCACTTCATGAATCTCCAGTATTGAGCACGTGTGCCTGACTCATTTTTACGAGAGGTTTAGTTTTTCACACATAGGGCTAAATATGAGGCTTCTAGGAAAAAAAGGGGGGGGGAGGGATAAAGCGGGGTGTCTGGCATAATCATTCTTCCATTAGTGCCAAGAGATGGAAATGGCTGCATTGATGCCCTTGTAGGTGACTATTGGAGCATGACTGGTGACTGAACAAAATGTTTAACCCCATACTTACATCACAAATGCAGGTCAAGAGGACATATCTATAATTCTCTCTGCCTACAAAGCTTCACGAGAAAGAGGACCGACCCTATTTTGATTACAGAAATGATGCAGTTGAGAAAACAATGGATTTGTAATCTTTATAGGTGATCAACTCCTATAACTCCTTTTACGGCCGGTACAATATTACCCATTACTGAACAGAAATACTGGACTATCCCACCTCTGCAGCAAAGACGCTTTGTAAAGCCAAGGTCTGCTTCAAACACGTCTCACCGCAGACCCCACCCCACTGACAGAACCAATACAAGTCAGCCTGTTACATTTCACGATTTCCCAGTCAACCAGCCGCAGCCTGGAATGTTATTATATCAGCTATTACATAATTCCCCTCTTCCATCCGAAAGCTGTTAAGCCAACTGCTTTAAAAAGTACGCATGTATCTGATTTATGGCCACACGTTATCAGTCTTTTTCCCAAAACGCTAGACAAACGCTCAGGCTTTCTCCTGCTTTCTCCCTCATCTATTTTGGAGGTCAGCAAGCTAAATAGCCACCTATTATTACATGTGTCCTTGGCAGAATCACTGAGGCAAAGAAATTCTCATTTATGGATGCCCAGGGCGATGTGCAGCCAAAAATAAATGCCACCTTTTTTCTCCACACACCCTCTTCCCTTTTGGCCCTAGTGCAAAAAGGACTCTCCCCTCTCTACTATCAAGGTCAGGGGAGTGGGCCTATGAATTAAAAGAAGTGAGAGACCCTTGCAAAAAAAAAAAAAAGAAGAAGTTGTTCTGTAGCACTGCAGCATTGCATGTCTGTAGGTATGCTTGCGCAAGATGACCTGGTGCACCACTTCATTAAGCCACCCTGTTTTTTGGAACACCGGAGGGAGTATCCTGCAGAGGTAGCCAAGTGAATAAATCAGGATTGTGGGGACAACGATCAGGCCAGGCCCTCACTGAGAGGAGACAGAATGGATTGCAAGGAACCAGATCAGCATAATCAGAGCAGGTTATTTTTGTAATGAAACATTCCCAGGATTGGTTATTGCCTCTTTGCTCAATGCAATGAACAATAAAAAAAATAATTGTATGAGGGTCAAAAGAGAAATGTGCTACACAGGATACAAATCAAAATAAATATTCTTATGATGGGGGACATCATTCCAGATATGTATAAATAATATTGTAGTAAGGTAGAAACCTTCAACATGGGTTTTAAAAAACCCAGTTAGCAGAAAGCACCAGTCAGACAAGAGATTCTTTTATGTATCTTTTCCTCAAACTTAGAAATTAAGCAGATCAGAGGCCACTGATCCCAGAATAATTTGACAGGATGTAAGCAAGGCTGATTTCAGATAGTGGAAGATCAAATCAGATCAAATTCTATTTCTGTCACTGACTATGTACAAAAAGCAAAAAGATGAATACATGCAACAAGCAGACAACAATATATCACATAAGGAAACATCAAATACTACCATCAATGACCAGCATTTGAGAAGTGCAATACTGTATGTGTTCAAGAGAAACCTGGCATCTCTCAAAGATATTTCATAATATTGAACAGATATATAGTAATTATCATAGAATGCATTCAATGGGGATATTTTGTTACCGAAGGAAATGCTGGATTTCACTTCAACTGATCATGACAGAATAGTTTTAGTAGCTGGCTCCCTTCCCACCCCCAGACAGTGATTATTGCACAGTCCAGCTTCGATAGGTGTGGGGGGCTTTGGGCCAGCCCCTCTCTCTGATCCCAAACCACCTCACAGGGTTATCGTGGAGAAAACAGGAGGTGGAAGCATTAAGCACACCGGCCTGAGTTGAACAAATAAAGGCAGAATACAGGTAGTCCTCTACTTACAACAGTTCATTTAGTGACCATTCAAAATTACAACGGCACTGAGAAATGTGACTTGCGACCGTTTTTCACATGGCCGTTGCAGAATCCCCATGGTCTCCTGATCAAAATTCAGGTGCTTGGCAACTAAATCGTATTTATGACAGTTCCGGTGCCCCAGGGTCATGTGATCAACGTTTGAGATCTTCTTATAAACAAAAGTCAACGAGGGAAGCCAGATTCACTTACCAATCGTGTTACTAATCTAACAACTGCAGTGGTTTACTTAACAACGGTGGCAAGAAAAGATGTAAAATGGGTTAAAATTCACTTAACAAATGCTTCACTTACCAACTTTGGACTCAGTTGTGGTCCATAAGTTGAGGACTAATTTTGTGTGTGCGTGTGTGTGCATTTTATATATATAATATTACACACATACACATTACACACACACACACACATCCATCCATCCGTCCGTCCAGATTTTTCTTCAGCTCAGTCTTAGAGGCTCCGAGCATACCCCATCCCGCTGGGCAGCCTCTGGATGGAAAAAGGTGCTCTGAAAACACATAGCATGTCTTCACCTCAGAGTCCTTCTCTAATAATGTATCCCTTCTGCTGCCTCTGGGTAAAACCTACCCCATATCAAGCCACTCCTTTTATTCTTTCACTCTGGATCTATTTTCTACACACACACACCAGTTCAATCATGTACAATTCTTGAAGAGTGCCTGGACAAGTCTCCGTAGTTTCCTTGACAACATTTTTCAGGGGTGGTTTTCCATTGTCTGCTTCCTAGGGCTAAGGGAAAGTGACCGGCTCAAGGTCACCCAGCTGATCTTGTGTCTAAGGCAAGACTAGTACTCCCGGCCTCCCGGTTTCTAGCCTGATATTTTTATGTCAAACTGGCACAGTCCATTTCTTTCCAGAGGAAAATATCTAATGGAACTATGCTATTCTGTTCCCAATACTGTATTTAATGTAGTACATTACATTCCAAAAGTGGCCAGATTCCGTTCCCACACCGTAGTCTAGCCCTCCTATAAATGGCTAAGAAATAAGCTGCATTTTATTCAATGAACCCACTCTTAAGTCAACATGCACATTCTGAGAAAGGAACCTCAGCAATCAGCTCCACAGTCCAGTATTTATCTGTCTATTTTGATGTAAAACAAGCCCCAAATGGCAATAATGATTTAGTGAAGTTATAGCATGCTCAAACAATCATCTCTGGCCCAGCAGACTGGCTCAGGAATTCTGGGAGTTGTAGTCTGCAAGTCTTAAAAAGGCCACGATTCCCCACCCCTGATTTAAAGTCCTTGGATCTATGAAATCTAAATGATTTGTCAGCCTGTGTTGAAAAACAATACAACATTTTATTCATTTATTAAATTTACATGCCACCCCTTTTATGGGTAGCATATAAATAATTAAAATCCATGTTTAAGAAACATTGACCTAGTGAACTCCACTATATAGTGAGGATTCAACCAGGTCTTCCTGGATCCAGTCCAACTTTCCAATTATTGAATATGATTATTCCCCATTCAGCTAACTCCTATCCTAAGCAATAGCATTTAAAACAATCTACATCGCAATGAAGTTTAAAAAACTTTAAATAAGACGTTGGAAGAGTTTATTCCGCTTTCTAAATTTCTTTAATGAATATAAATGAGCACACAGAGCTCCCATAAAACTGTATTGCACACAACACTTGAAACAAGGAAAACATGTTTTGTCACCAAAGTATTATAGACAATTAAGTCCCAGTTTCTTCAGAAACAAATTCAGCCTCAACTAGAGCTGTCATGGAAACATGCCTGCCTACGCATGATTAACCTTGGTTTATGACTGTCAGGACAATGAAAAGTAATAACAGCGCTCCATTTGGCGTTCCAATCTCTCTGTTTCAACAAAAACTTAACTAATTTAGAGAAAGGTATATGGAGATAGAAAAAAACCTGCATCTCGATATTTAAATTTTGAGATTGATGATATGCCTTGGTTCTATGAAAGAGGGATATTTGTTAACAAACAATACGTGTCTTTGAATAACTGAATTCTAAATGAAGTTTTGATACCAAGCATGGCCTCAAGGTAGCTTTTATTCAATATCTGAATCAGGCTATTTATTTATTTAATTTATATTGCCGTCTATTCGCCCATGGCGACTCGAGGCGGCTTACACAATGTAAAACCATATTTAAAACAAAAAATAAAAATAAAAAAAGTTAATCTATCTGGATTCTAAGACATACAAGAAGTTCCTGCAAGAGAGGCCCGCTTACCGTATCCATCCTGTACATAGGAAAATAGCTTGGGGCACTGGGTCATGTTTGTGTGTGTCATAGGTAAAGGTAAGATTGTGCAAATGTCTTAACCTGGGAGGCAGGATTGTCACAAGAACGACGGCAGAGGGAAGCACGGGAGGGAACGGGAGGGGCGGATGGGGGACGGGACACGGGGCCACAGCTTGAAAGCGGTTGATTGTCCATCCGCTGTCCTACTGTATCCTCACTGGCTCTGGGTTCCAGGTGCTGATCCTGAAGGCCAGGTTGGCATGTAACAAAGCTGCCTTCATTCATGATATGGATGAAGATGCTGATCTGGCTTGTTTAACAGTTGCTTGGTTTGGCCTTGGGGGAGACCCCCCTCCCAGAACCCAGCCAGGTTTTGCACCAGTTGAGACCCCAAGAAGGGGAGGTGAGTGGTTTTTGTAATCTGAGAGCAGGTGGCAGGTGTGCCCAGGAAGGTATTTGCACAACTTCCACTAGTGTACAAGTTGTGGCCTTTCCTGGGCTAGGAAGCCCTTCAGACAGTCACTCAAGTCCTAGTGTAATGGTGTGTTGTAATGATTTTGGGAGACAGCAGGAAGAGCCACAGCCTGGGGAGTGCTCTAATAAAAAGCAGGTAAGCTGGCAAAAGTAATGGCAGCAATGGCAAAGGTCTCAGAAGGGACCCACCCTAGGTTCTTGCAAAGGTGACAAGGGAGAAATGTACTTTCAGACTTGCAAGATTCTGTTGATATAACATTACAATAAAATATACTTTATTGTAATGTTCATCTGGGCATGTTCCCTGTAGGGACTAACTCACAAAGCTAACACTTCATCATTTCACATCTCAACTTCTGCATGCAATTCAAGGTGCTGGCTATGACTTATAAAGCCCAACAAGTTATTGCAGGGACCACTTACTCTATGCTCAGCCCAGCTAGTTCAATCTGACAAATTTAGCTTGTTCCATGTTCCTTCAATTTACAATGATGTCATCAATAGGGACCTAAGAAGTGTGCCCTTTTTGTCATGGCATCTGCCCTCTCAAATGAAATCTCACTTGACATCTGCCTACTGACATTCCAAAAAGTCTTAAAGACCTGGCAATTCTCCAAGACCTTGGGTTATGAGGTTGAAGCCCCTGCTGGATTGAGTGGGATTACCAGTTCTGCCGTTAGTTTTTGTGGTTTGTTGTTTTATTTTCATATAATTATTGTATTCTGTTTTTATGTTATTGTTTTATTGTATGGGACCTGGTGGAATCAGGTGATTTAATTGAACAAATTAAACTACTAAGGAAATGTCTAATGAGTGCCCCAATTTTAAAAAAATCACAATTAGGAGCTTCCCAATTTGCTTGGAACTGAAAACAATTAGTTAGGTTCTCATCATGCTAAGCCATGGTTTCCTTCACCATGATCAACTGCATAACTGGTTGGTTCACTTATAACTTTCGTGGGAATGCAAAAATGTTTTTTTTTTTAAAAATGGGAATGGCTAGCTTCCTACCATGATCACCCTTAAAAAAAAATAACAAAAAGGCCAAAAATCTTCAATCCTTCCCTTTCTGGGTGATGTTATCATAAGCCTTCAGCTGAGAAGAAAGCAAGTTGCAACTTCTGATCTGGAAAAAATTGCCTATACCTGCCCTTAAATTTCACAGCTGTAACAGCTGGCTTCATCTACTCTACCATGACAGCACCAAACCACACAATGGCTACACGTTTGTGAATCTTTTGTGAACAGCTGGCTTCATCTACTCTACCATGACAGCACCAAACCACACAATGGCTACACGTTTGTGAATCTTTTGTAAAATGAACTGTTTTTGTTTACAGACAGACAACTGAGTAGGCTCTGCACTAGGTGGCAGTGATTTCAAAGAGGAATAGTTTTTTATTATCTCTAAAATATCAATAATGGAACCTGGATTTTTGCTTATAAACTCCACGATAAACTGAAAGGTTACAACACTTGTTTAAAATATATCTGAGGAATCATGCAGTAATCCACTTCTAAGTAGAATTACAACTCAACAGTGGATCCCACAGCAATCTTCTAGACTTATATAATTCACCCATTTGTACAATAAAATAATTACCCAGTACCATGGTAAAAGAAGCATATATTATTTGAATAAAGTACCATATTTGCTTTTCAATAAATTCCACATTAATTTTAATAAACTGGAAGGTTTAGGTTTGTCAAAGCCACTGGTTGTTCTTAAAACGCTTTACCTTTTCCTCTTGAACTTCGAATACTGCTTCATGAACACTGCAAGCAAAGAGTGAGGTAGGAAGATCACTTAAATCCATCATCTCTTCCAAGTCGTCTTCGTTTTCTCCAAAAATCATTTCTTCCTCTTCTTCCAGGTCACTGCTGTAAAGGTCTGATTGACTATCACTCCAGGCCTTCATTGTATCATTAATCACTGTCCATTCAAAGCTTCTTTCTGCCTCTGTATCCTGCGCTTGTAGGAAGAGTCTTTCAAATGAGCCAAGAGAGATTTTGAAGAGAGAGAGAGAGAGAGACAGAGAGAGAGAGAGAGAGAGAGAGAGAGAGAACAAAAACAGTAAGGGAGATATTTTTCTATCATTTCTTATTTTGGCTGTTTTTAATGGTTTAGTCATTATGAGCAGAAACAAGGTCTGACCTTAGAGCAGTAGCCCCGGCTCATTTTACGATTCGTTGACTTCTAGCGTAAGAAGGAGTCATTGCTTAGTCAGATATGAATAATAAGCTTGATGCAATACTCAGTCTTTCATTGTGAGACTCCCATGCACTGGGCTGCCTCCGAAGACTTAAACACAATTCCTGTTCCCAAAAAATCAATTCTGGAAACAGACAAGCCACCTCTGAAAGTGCACGTTCTGAAAGAGTAAATGGAACCTTCCAGGGAACACATGAAGGTTCCAGGAACAGACTGTACAATTTGATGTCAGGGCACCCAAGAAAGAGTAGATCACCCCCTTTTCCATGGTGAGGAGGAGGAGGAGAACTCAAAGCAAAGCTCTTCTGAGTTTCCAACTTTCCTTCAGGAAGAAACGACAATTAAGACAGCACGAATGAACCAGAGGGGAAAAAAATAATAGGGATCTTTTTCTCCCCTAAGCTTTTGCTTTGCTGGCAGGAATTTGACAAAGATACCATAGATCCTCCCCAACATCACATGAGTCAGTCAATTAAATCCGACCAATTTATTTAGAATTTATTTTTGTTTTGTTTCCAAAATAATATTAGGGATGAGCAACTAAAATTTCCAGGAAATGATACATGCTCATTTACAAGAAACTGATACTGGACAAAGGTCTCCTCTCTTTCTTTCCCAAGATCATTACCACCAGCCAGCCTCTGGAAAGGATCTAGAAGCTTCTGACTTCTTTCTTTTCTTTTCGAAGTATTGCTTCTTATTTATTTATATTATTTGGATGATGTTTTTGGAGGTTATCTTGAAAAACTGCATCTAAAAAATTATAATAAATCCAGATGGGGTTGGCAGAAGATCCTGATGACACCTAATAGGTCCTGAATTCAGAAGCAAACAGGCTTTAATACAATTTTCTCAACCTTAGCAACTTTAAGATGTGTAGATCTCAATTCCCACAATTCCTCAGCCAATGTAGAAGATGATGTCCACGTGTCTTAAAAGTTGTCAATGTTGAGAAACATTGCTCTAACATGTTGACTTTCTATATGGAGTCAGCCTTTATCCTCTCTTAAACCTGACATGCAATCTGCTGGAATCCAGAAACCCTAAGACATTCCGGTCATTCTTTACTATGAGACAAAAGCAAATAGAATCATGGCTTGAAAATGTATAATCTTCAAATATAACAAGCTACCAAATACTTCTTTAGTAGGACCCAGTATCTGATATTTAAACATTATATTCCTTCGCAATCTGAATGCTTCCAGCTTAATGAAAGGTGCCTAATGGATACCAGTTAAATAGCTTTCCAAAACAGCATGATTTTCCACATAACCCATTTCTCTAAAAATATCATATGCAAATATATTTTCTATTTACTACCGTACTCAGATGCTCAATAATGCACATTTGTCAGAAATTAGCCAGTTGCATGAACTTTTTATTTTAAAGCCCCTCATATATGACATTTCAGACATTGTGCATAAAAATTAATCACAAGCGCTGTTTTACACTATGAGCATGATTTATCCTGACGGTTTTTGGCTTTGTGGAGCCTGGGTGGGTGTGGCCTGTGTGTTGATGCATCCGACTTGCGGGCCGCCAGTTTGACAGGCCTGCTTTAAAGACATATTTAAAAATAGCCTCAAAGTAGAAATACATCATTAAAACCAATAACATTATACAACATTTTAAGAGAAAAGAAACAAGTTAAAATCGCTACAGATAGAACACCTAGGTAGGATAATAAAACTTTAGAAATAAACAAAAGATGAAAATGTGTAAGTCCAAGAAAGGTCCTGCTTGTTAAACAGGACATTCACATCAGGCTTAGTAAGACACTAATTGTAACTAAGCAAGGAAGGCATTCAGCAATCATAGTCTCTGTATTGAGGCACTTCATTTCTGCGCAATGTCTCAAGTGTCATATTTGAGGGGCTTTTAATAAATACAAGGCATCTTTGCTAATTTCCAATATTCAATCCATTATGCAATCATAAACAAGAACCATTTATTAAATTTATATGCGGCCCAACTCCCAGTGACTTTGTGCAATTTATGACTTGTTAAATATATTTAAAAACAAGGAGACAAAAAAAGATGGCAGAAATGATGAAACTGGATAGGAACAAAGAAAAAAAAGAGGTCTTCAAACACCCTCATTAAAAAAGCGAGCTAATTCTTCAGGGCCGCTGAAACACTAGTAGAATGGAGGCTCTTTGAATGTGGGGAGGGGCCCTCACTCCAGAGAGATGGCATAAGGCAGAAAGCAAACATTTTGAGTTTTAAAACATCAGAGCAATTCCTGAAATTGGCTTGGATCAAATTCAAGGTGCACTTTGCTCAGAACAGACATAATATGTTTCCAACAGGCTGTTTCTTTTAGCAAACTAACCAAACATGCTACCCATGCTTCCAAATCTGGGCTAGCCTCTAACAGGTTCATTGGAGGAAAACACAGCATAATCTGATTTGCAGTTTATCGAGGTCTGGAGCATGATTGATACCTGGTAAACCAGGTCAGTCTGAGGATGGGGGGCTCCTGGACACAAAGGCCACCTGTGCTTCTATTGACAACAAAGGATCTGGAGGAATTGCCAAATGATGACCTTGGGTGTTGCCTATCTTCCAAAATTAGCAAAGCAGATGGGTGGAAAAAGAAAAAAATTATACGAAGAAAGATATACAGCAATGTTAAAAGTGAAGTTAAAAATCTTCAGAGAACACAAAGGCATTCTGTATTTCTGAAGAAAGAATGACAATTAACTTGCAGCTATGATCACATTGTGAATTTGATGACTCACAATTCCCAAACATTTCAACTTATAATACCGCAGCATTAACATTTTCAGAGTGTTCAGTAGCCAAAGGAGAAACATTCTATAGTCAAAATAATTACTGCAAATTAGGCTATTTCTCTTTACGCAGAGATCACTGAGAAGCCTAGTTGTTAACTGAGTGTTTAGTGTGAATTTCTATATTCTAACTCCCTAAAAGTGCATTACATTTTCTCTGAATGGGAAGGACATTTAAAAAAAGAACATAGAGAACTGAATTAATTTGATAAACAGATTAAGGCCTTGATTAAAGAGCTGTATTTCAACAACCTCTCTTAAAAAAAGGGGGATCACAAAGTGACTTTTCTAGCATAAAGATCTTTAACAGAAATAAAATGTTGATTTACCAAGAAATCTACAATGCAAACAAAACAGTGAATTAGTAGATGAAAAGGAATCTTCAGTTTCAGTCCAGAATGCTGGATTCTTGCTTTGAGGAATTACGGAATTGTGATGACATAAGCCAGCTCCAATAGCCTGTTTCAGTTTTTGCATTTGCAAAGAGATTAACATATACCAACAACTGCAAGGGAACTAGAAAGCTTAACAGAATTTAAATATACACATGACTGGTCTATTTTAATAACTTAATAAAATGACTAATATATTTGATTAGAAGATTGGGATTTTATAAATGTATAGGTTGTTTGTGTTGAGTAAGTACCTCAATGGAAAAACGAAGCTAACATTTTTTCCTACTAGAATTATCAAAGTCAGGTATAAAACAGATGGCATTTGCCAGCTGAAACCAAGTGTTTTTATGATAGTATGTCCTATGCATCCTAACTTTTTCATATAAAAAGCTTACTTTCCCCCAGTATCCTTTTTAAGCAAACATACAACAGTAGCACTGTTACCATTAATGCAGTACTACCGATCATCATGGATTCCAAAGAAAATCACGTTACTTATCCTCTGAGATTTTGTTTTTTAGTATTATGCAACAGAAGAAACAAGAAACTAATAAAAAATCTGCCAGAATCAATCTGCTATGCTAGGAAAAGTTGATGAAAGTAACAGAAGACATTTATGTTTTAGCAAAGCAAATCTTGTCAAACATTCTATTCGAGTTTATCGGTTTCAACCCCTAGGTGGTAGCATCTAGCTGAAGTTTCTTATTGTCTAAAATTTAAGCAGTGGTGGGCCTGGTAGCATTTGGATGATAGACCAACAGAAGATTTCAGAGTTCAAGGTTAGATGAGAAGTTGAAAAAAAAATCACCTCAGAAAAATAGAACCAAGCTCAACTAGAAGAATTCTAAATTAGAAAGGCACATGCAGCGGAATCAATTGCCTAGCACACTCCTATACGACTGAGGGTGTATCTCAATTTGTGGGTGAACATTGACTCCAAGCACCCTTTATTCTGTGGCAAACTCTGACTCTGTAATAACATGTACATGATTGTGACTACTACTGTAATCCAACAGAATTATCCAATATTCATGAGTCTGACAGACCAGATTTATAAAGTGATGAAACTGAACAATGTAAAAGCTAATTTCTATATAAATAGAAGTTTATCAAAGCCTTAATCTCAGGGACACATGACTGTACACAGTTTGATATTAAAGGTAAGCATTTACCTTCTCAATCCTCAAAACTTGAGGATTAAAGCATTTTAAAAATTACCATCTGTATGACGTACTTCTTGGGCTGTCAGCCCTCCACACTCATGAATAAAGGAAATTATACATCCTGACTAAGGCAGGACAAGCACTTATTTTTTTCCTAACAGAAGGACAGTTTATTTTCCCTAGCACACTGTTTCCTCCTTCACCAAGGCTGCTTCGAAAGAGAACGCTAAAGTGTTATTCTGTCAGATGCCCACTACACAGTGGATAAGTCTCACTCTTCCCACATGGCAGGAAAGAAAAACAATTCAACTACTTTATGTTAAAAATGTTTTAAGGTTAGTGGAATAATCTGAATGCTTCCCTCCAGAAAGTAGTGGCTTCATATGGCTCATTCACATTGTGTGAAATCAGTTTCCTGTTTTAATTAAATCAGGCCAATCAATAGATGGGGTAAAATGTGAAGATTTAAGTCCAACCATTATTGTATAAAGAAGAAAGCTATAAAAAATAAATTGGCCATAAACCTGTGTCCATGTGGCAGAGGAAGCAACAAAAACAAAGGAAAAGCTCCTTAAAATGATAAACAACCCCTCACCCCTAAAAAGACTAGCTGTGCTTGAAAGCACAAGGACGTAGAACTGGAGACAGCAAATATAATAAAGAAGAACATAGGGATCAATGTAGTCCTCATTTAGCAACTGTTCGCAAATAGGGATATCTTTCATATGGGGAAAAAGGGAACCTCACATTTTCCACCTTCACAGGTCTGCAAAGGAAAAGAAAAGCCGAAGTAAAGGATCAGAAACACAGGGCGGTTTTCACTTAACGACCGCTTCACTTAAAAACCGAGTAACCCATCCCAAAGGCGGTGGCTAAATAAGGATTACTCGTGGAGCCGGATCCAACAACGCTTTGCTTTAGGAGCGGAGAGCATGGGAAAGTAAGAAATGCCAAGCAGAAGAAGAAGAAACAGGCATTTTTTTAAAAAAAGAATGAGAAAGTGGAGCAACACCCCCCCCCATCCATCCCCAAATACTGAAAGGGCAAGGGGGGGGAGAGAGAGAGAGAGAGAGAGAGAGAGAGATGAACAAGAGACCCTAAGAGGAGGAGGAGGAGGAGGAAGAGGAGAGGTTTCCTAACTAGGGGGCAATCGAAGGGCTCGGCCTCCTGGCAATATTGGAGGGGGGGTTGGTGACCACACAGTCAGCAAAAGGGCAGCTCCGTGTCGTCCCCCCCACATAGCTTTTAATGGAAGAAATAAATGGTGGGGTTGAAAAGGTATCTTTTCCTCGGGTTAGCTGACTATGCATTTCCCAAGAGCTAAGCTGGAAACGGAAGAAAAGGGGAATACAGAGTCTAAGGTTTGGGGCAGGATTCAGATCGGTCACCCCAGGAGCCCCCTCTCCATCCCCGGGCCTCCCGGAAGCAGCACCTGCAGGGAAGAAAAGCCGGGGTGAGGTATACGACTCCTGCCCACGGAGGCTCCCCTGCACGGGGACTGCTGCGCAAGGATGGCCCGACTGGAAGGCGGCGGGAGTTATCCGCCGAGGAAGCTCCTAAGACCCCCGCTGGGCTAGCCGGGCTCTCTTCAGCTCCGGCCCACCTCGCGGGGTTGTTGTGGGGACGACGACGACGGAGGAGGAGACAAACCCCCCCCCCACCGCCCCGAAACCTGCAGCGGGGAGGCGGGAGAGGGAGGCAACCGGTCCTCGGGGAGGGAAGCCGGCCGGCGGAGGCCCCCCCGCCCACCAGCCAAGGGGGAAAGGAGAAGAGCGGGAGGCCGGGAGGCGCCACGGGCTCCCAGGAGCGGCGGGGGTCGCGAAGGGCAAAGCCGGCGGGGGTCACCGGGCTGCGTCCCCACCTCTCCCCTCGCTCACCTTCGGGAAGCGGCGACGGCGACGGCCACCGTCTCCCGGCCAAGTCGAGCCAGGCGCGGGGCAGCGCGAGCGCCTCAAGAACCGCCTCAGCTCTCCGCCTCTGCGGCCGCCCGGCCGACTCGTCCGCCTTCCCTCCCTCCCTCCTTCCCTTCCTGCGGGGCTGACGGAGGACTCGGCGAGCGCAGCGCGCGCGCCCCCGAGCCCGGCCGCGCGCCCCCGCGTACGCCTCCCTCATCCCCCATAGCAACCGCCGACGCCCCTCTCCCTCTTCCGGTCGCGAGCCGGCTGGGGGGGGGGGTTATATCTAACCCGGAAGTGAATCTCTCGACCGCGGAAGACCGGCGGCGGAATGAACCTCATTGTTCAAGTGGAAGAATGGCGTTTCGGGCTGTCAAAAACCCACACGACCTCTAGATGGCAGCCGAGAGCCGGGCAACTCTAATTTAAACAGCCAACCTCAAGCCGTAATGTGGCTAATGTGTCGCCGTTCATCAGTGTTTCTCAATTTTGGCAGTCCCAAAGCTAGATAAAGAGAAATGATTGACGAATCAAAAATATATTGTATTTAAAGCTGAATACCGTGTGTGTGTGTGTGTGTGTGTGTGTGTGTGTGTGTGTGTGTGTGTTTTCTCTTAAGTTTTTGTGGGTACTTACATGTATGGTATTCAGCTTTGTTCAGGTATTTTCCCACGTCATTATAGTTGTGCTTTTAAAGTTATAGCAACATTTCGGCAGAATCTCATCTGCCATCATCAGGCTTCTGTATCAATACAGAATGAACACAATACAGAAGCCTGATGAAAACAGATAAGATACTGCCGAAACGTTGCTATAACTTTAAAAGCACAACTATAATGACGTGGGAAAATACCCGAACAAAGCTGAATACCATACATGTAAGTACACGCGAAAACTTAACACACACACACACACACACACACACATTTGTTTTCATAGATTTTCACGGGTACAGGTATGTAGGTCTAGGTGTGTTTGGGTCTTTTCCCGTGTAAGATTAAGAGTATCTTGGCGACATTTCGGCAAGGTCCCACTCGCCATCCTCAGGCTGGTGCTTTCGGCTTCGTGCCAGTGCAAGAGAGAGACGGCAGCTCCGATCAACACTGCTTGCACTGGCATGAAGCCGAAAGCACGAGCCTGAGGATGGCAAGTGGGACCTCATCGAAATGTCGCCAAGATACTCTTAATCTTACACAGGAAAAGACCCAAGCACACCTAGACCTCTCTCTCTCTCTCTCTCTCTCTCTCTCTCTTCATATATCTATATATCTATATAATCTATATATCTATATCTATCTATCTATCTATCTATCTATCTATCTATCTATCTAATTTTCCTGGATATGAAGTTAATAAATAAATGAAGCTACATTAGTCTGTATACAGAAAATAATACGTCCAGTTCCTAAGGAGGATAAACTTAACCCACAACCTTTTAATTGGATTACCAGATGTATTGTAGCAATCTCAGTGCTGCTTTTCATGACTGTCAGCTGTAAATGTGATTTGGTCCAACGGATTCCTATTCACAACGGCTGAGCTTTCAATTTTCTAGCTCAGCATGCTGTTTGAAACCAGTCTTTGTTCTACAAATCATAGACTATGGCTAAATTCACCTGCAGGCTATTCTTTTTCTGAGGAGCGGTTTGGTTAATTTGTACAATTTCTTAGTTAGGATTGCATAATTGACTTGTTCCACTTTTTAATGTAGAAAGATATTGGTTTACAGGTGCCTTTTACAGTTTCTTCTCCAATTCCTGTATTTTTCCATTCATATCCAGCTTGTTGCCTCCCTCAACAAATCAAAGCCCATAATCAGACAGTTGGCTTCCGCTGCCTTTTTTTTCCTGACTGGTAATTCAATACCCAAATATAAATGTTCTCAAAGTTAATTTCTATTTGCTTCCACGGAATAAAATCCATAGAATGTTAATTATGTTGGCAAGATTTCACTGGCAGATTCGACTCAACAGCTCAACTGCATTAAAAATATTAGCTATAAGCCTTCAAATCTGTATGCTTTAGTGTTGAACAAGACGGACCTGACAAAACTTCTATTTTAAAAAATCTCCCTTAACAACTGCTTAGCTCAAGCATCTGTCAGTGCCACCATCAGTTTCATTAACATGTCAGCCGCATCTTACATTTTGCATTCATTCAGAGGATGAAGGCTTAGCATGTTTCCAAACCAGTATTTGCTGTGATGATTAGAAATGCAAGACAACCGGTGCATTCAATAAATCTTGATTTAATAAACTGTATTCAGGGTTGCTATCTAAATTAGGTAACAACCACTTTTGGAGTAGTAGGAGGCAGAACGGGAATGCCCCATGTATTTACCCATTGCATAGAGAACTACCCCGCCTCTTGTACATTTTCGGTAGGAGTGGCCAGTGTGCATCCCCTTCGTTCCCCTGAAAATGCCAGGTACCCTTAGCAGGGCTGGGCAGCTGCCCCTCTATCTTTATGTAGGGTGTTGATTGCCACCTATAGGCAAAAAGAGACCTGACCCACCCTTTGTGGGAAATGGATGAAGACACTTCCTCCTTATAGGCTGTGATAGATGTTCCACCTGGACTTAGGTAATTGGTTCATGCAAGCTGCCTGGTTAAGATCTTTGGTGTTATATCTTTTGGATATGAATTACAATGAGCCATATGCAGTCAAGATTGGTAAATGTTCAAAGTCGCTTCTATCTCAAGGTTTTAGTGTGTCAAATATGGAATACAACACTCCTATGTTGATCTGCTTCCACTAAGCAGCAGGGGTGTCAAACTGGTGGCCTGCAGGCTGGATGCGTCGCCCGCAGGCCACTCCCACCCCAGCTCCGCGAAGGGGGAAATAATTGTGATACATCACATGATGGCAATGTGATGCCACGAGTTTGACACCTGCGCACTAAAGTGTCACTGGGCTTCAGCAAAAATCTCCCCTTGTGCTTGCTTTCATTACAGGTAGTCCTTCAGTTACAACTCTGTGTTTAGTGACTGTTCAAAGTTACAACGGCACTGAAAAAAAGTGACTTACAACGAATCCTTGCATTTATGTCCTGTGCAGCACACCCCACGCTCACATAATAAAATGTTGGGTGCTTGGCTACCAGCATGCATTGTTGCGGTTCGCCGGCAGCCTGTGAGGATGGCAGGAATTGGACAGTGGGGAATAACATGGGCCAGTCCAGGAGTCTGGGAAGGACTTGGACGAGGGTCCTGTGTCCGATGCAGAGATGGCGCTAGGTCCATCTGGGAGTTATGTGCTGACTCCGGAGCCTCTGGAGTCTGGCAGCAGCAAGGCCAAGGACCCAGAGGAGCCTGTTCCCAGTGCGCGTGTGCACAGAGCTGCTAGAAAGAGGAACAAAGGGGCAACTTGTGAGTAAGGCCGGGAGGTGATTGCCCCTCCCCTAAGGTATAAAGGACAGGCAAAGGTAGAGAAACCTTTGCAGGAAGCAAAGTCATTCACTCTGTTTGGATTAATCCTTGAAGCTCTATGTGGACTTTGTACTTCGGTTGTTTTTTTACAGTTAATTTGGCACTTTAGTTGTTGGCAGCAATTCAAAGGAGAGGAAGGTGGGCGCTTATCTCGAGGGACTGTTTGGATTCATTACGGGCTGGGAATGAACATAATTCCCAGCGTTAAAATAAAACATGAGTTATTTTGACTATGTGTTATGGTCTCAGGAAGCCTTCGTCAGAACATGCATTTACAATGGTTTCAGGGTCTTATGATCACCTTTTCTGATCTTCCCAGCCAGCTTCCGACAAGCAGTCAATGGGGAAAGCTGGATTCATTTAATGACCACATGATTCACTTAATAGCAATGGCAAAAAGTTGTAAAATCTGGTATAACTTCCTTAACAGCCACCTTGATTAGCAACGGAAATTCTGGATCCAATTGTGGTTTCAAGTTGAGGCCTAGTTACTTCATTAAATGCCTATATCCTGCCTTTCCACCCATACATGGTCTTCAAGGTGGCTCCTTATTCAATTTATTTCCCCACCCACCTGACGGAAGGCTTCCTTTGAACAAAAGTTGCCATTCTCCATCTTTGTGTCATAAAGCTTTGTTTATTTACACACACCATGGTGAAGACAGTACACTCAGTCAAGACATGTTTGACATCCTCAGAAATCAGTGAGACAAGAACGTTGGCTAGCATTCTGAAAAGGACCTTGTCTGTCTTCACAATAACCAGGAAGCTTTTTTCCCCTTTGCATTTTTGCCTAAATATTTGTTTGATATTGGGGAAGATGTGATGGCATGGGAAGAAATTCAATTTCCTACAGGTATCTCCAGAAGAGAATATATCAGAGCAATAATCTTGGGAACCTTAAGATGTATGGCCTTCAACTCCCAGAATTCCCTAACCAGCTGGGGAATTCTGGGAGCTGAAGTCCACGTATCTTGAACCTGCCAGTTGAGAAACACTGCTTTATTTCATATTGCCCATGGATCTTCATGGATCCTAAGTGCAAATCACTCTGTGAAAGTGGTCCAAATACCTGAGTATCCTCCATTTAGACTCCACAGGGCCGTTGAAAACTGCAGCAAGGTTTACATTCATGTTAATTCTTCCACAAAACCACCAGAAATCTATTCATTTCTACTGGCAACCACCAGAAACCTGACATCATTATGGAAAAGAGTAGGGACTGCATTTTCTGAGATGCTTTTTACATTTCCCAGTACACCCTGCAACTGGGGATTTTCCCACGGTCATCCATCCTCAATACAAAATCACATCTAACAGAGCTTAGCTTTTTAAGATCAGCCAAGGTTGTCTAATTGTTGTCATCTGCTGCGGAAAAGAAGCAGATAGAACCCTGATACAGTACAAATTAAAAACAAAAACTTGCAGGAAATCAATGTCTTTCCCTGTGGGCAAAGTAGCCAGAGATAGCAAAAAAGATTGCAGCATTGCTGACTGGAAGTTGAAGCACCAGCATATTTTTAAATGCTCCTCCATTTAAATAATTGCTGCACATAAACATAAAGTATCACACACAGGAAAGAAGGAAGGTGGTTTTTCGTCACAACTCAAGGACATCTGCAGAAGCTGGCTTTCTATTTGCAGGGAAGTATTTTTAATCCGCATAAAAAGCATTTAATGGCAGTCTCCAACCATTACTATGAAATGATGCAATTCAGGCCTAAACTAGGCCTAATACAAAGGACATTACAATCTAGAATTTCATTTCCAGGACAACTATTAAAAGCACAAACATCATGATTTCAAGATGGTGGTCTTTGGTTAGCAAAACACATGTCATCACATTCTCCACCAGGGGTTGCAGACCAACGCTGTCATGGTGTGTTGATCCGAGAGATACGAGTTCTCAGTGGCGATATGTCTTCAATTGCATAGTTTTCATGGGGAATAAAAGTTGAACTGTTGACTAAACCCTTTGACCAGGGTAACAGAATACTAGAATATATCCTGCCTCCCTCCCAATTCCCAGGTTTAGGAGAACAAGATATAATAAGTAAAACGGGACACACTAGTGAACTGCATCAATGCATCTCTGGTTAGCCGTGCCAACAGAAAAGGAGGAAATAATTAGTTTTCAGTATGGAGTATCCCTAATACGTATCTCTTGGAGAATGCCATTCTTCCAGTTTTTAAAAGATATACAATCCCTGGTTATCCCAAGGAAACCACGGCTTCTGTTATACTAGAGTGTCTATAGTCACCCGAGTACAGTCTGTTTAGCTACTTCAAATGCCTTCTGAGTTTGCAATGATGGAGCGGTTCAGATTCCAATGCAATTCAGTTTACCATGGAATACTTCTGTATCTGCAGGTACGTGATCCTTAATCAGTATTTCTTTAGAATTATCATATGAGTTCATCCCTACTTCAGCTGCCTGCTGGGCTCGATGAATGAAATAACAGAAAAGCGGGTGGGGGTAATAAATAGACAATCACACCTACAGTATTTCTCCAAAGAGCATTCACTCGCTTTTGCTGTGTGACATGATCCGACAAGAAGCATGTTCTTCCTGGACAACGGTTAATGTAGCAGGAGTATAAATTTCGGAGATGCTATCATTGTTTTCCAGGGCACCATAGGAAAAAGAAGGCTTTAGTTCAGGTTGAACTGCAGTTCCATTGTCGTGAAGATTCTGCATGCCTGAAAGTCGAGAGAAGGACAAAGGTGGAGGGGTTTGAAAACCAGAGAAAAATTCAATTGCTGTCTTTTAACATGTCACTTCCCAGTAACCCAACCAAACTGACTGGGGAATTCTGGGAGATGAAGTCCATCCATCTGAAAGCTACCAAGATTGAGAAACACTGTTCTAAAGTTTTGATCTCAAAGCCTACATTCTGAGACTTAGCCGGTTTGGGAACCAGAGTTGCATCACATTGGATGGCAGCAGGATCGGATTAATTGAGGACAGTGTTTCTCAACCTGGGACATTTGAAGACGCAGAATTCTGGGAGTTGAAGTCCACATTTGAAGACACAGAATTCTGGGAGTTGAAGTCCACATATCTTCAAGAGACTGAGGTTGAGAAACACTGCTATTGAAATATCCACGATATGGACCCCCTTCTTAAATTAGAATGCTACATTTGGTCCTCAGGGCCAAATTTGCAATTCTATGACCGAACTGGTCTTTGCATGATATAGTATGCCTTGCGGCAAGATGGTCGACAAACAAATAAAATAAAAATAAAATAATAATAATATCATCTCCACACTGAATGGGGGACAAAGTCCAAATCTTTGAGGTTTTTCAAGATTCTTGAAGGGTGAGTTAATGTTTTAATCCTCTGCAAGACCTAAAGGAAATTTCTCCCTCAGTACTACAAAATTAAATTTAAAATGGCTAAAAGCAGACTCTGAAAAATTACTTATTTAATACACTCATTTCTAGGCCGCCCATCTCATATATAAGACTCTGGACAGCTGTTAAAATAGGAGAAAAGGAGAATAAACCAGGGAAGCGATCAACATTAAAAATAACATAAATAAAAACCAAGAACATTGATGACACACTTTCAATATAACCATGATCAAGATACGGGTTCTTCCATATTGCTTAAATGCCCCGTTTTTGTACCTGATCTACAGCAAGTGGTACAACCAAATAATAAAGTGAGGTGAAATATTGGGATAGACTAATCTTTTCAACTGCCTGTCAGTTTTCCCCGCTTATTAAAAAGGTACTAGATTTTAAAATTACTTGGCATGGCATCCATGGAGATGTAAGGCTCAAAAAAGACACATTTCCTCTTGTTTTTAGTGATCAGAAAGACACCTAAAAAGGCAATGAGGCATCTGAAAGAGAGTTTAAAAGGACAAGATAAAGAAATTTAAATTAACATAGGTAAGAGAAAACATGGCTGACGTTAAAAAGTCTTAGCTACACATTTGACCTCACAGAAAGTGAGTCCGCAGTCTATGTGCTACTTCAGTTCATGGGGCAAAGTAAACATTTCCAGACACTTTTGAAGTGTAACATCTGTGAAGAGCAGGAACATCAAATATAGTTCTAACTAAATTTAGTTCTTTCCAAAGCCACAGAGAGAGCTGAAGTGCCCTTCTAACCCTCTGAGAGATTTACCCAGATCTTGTTTACTCACTTAAAATAGTTGTGCAACGAGACCTCTCTACCTCAACATAAATTCTTAAGGGAAAGAACAGCATCAGGAGACGTTGTAGGAATGAGGACGTCATTATTATTATGGCTGACTGCATAGTCAGCCAGATGTTTAGGCTAGATTTGGCATTTTTAACTACCTTCTGAGTCCTTTCTATGGAGCTGAGATAGGCAAGTGCTGTTAATAGTATTAAGAGTATCATCACAGGATGTCAGCTGTTCCAAGACAAGCTGCCTTCTACAATTGACTGATGGTGAACTTGTCAATGCCGATGGTGTTCAAGTGGTGCTCTGGTTGTTTTGGGGTTGCACCCAAGGCTCCTTTTACCATCGGTACTATTTCCCCTGTCTTATTTTTAAGAGCAGTGTTAAGGCAGAATACAAGGAGAGGAAAGAAGGGTGAAGAGATTCACTGCTCCCATGACTTCTCTCCAGGAAGAAGGCCCCCTAGGCATCTCCACCCCTAAGCAGTCCCTTTGACATCCCAATTCTGAACTGACAACCTTTTCCATAGGCAGTGGTGTCCAGCAATGCAGCATAATGTCAGCGCTCCAACTAACCAACTCCAACCCAATAAACTCCGAGACAAGCATTTCCTCAAAGCTCCATTTTATTAGAGTGTCACGTTGCCACATCTGGGAAAACCCGAATCTGAGAGTTCCGGATCTTCCCTTCCCAATTGAAAATCAAAAGCCCATGCCCTGCACCCACCAGTTGATCACATGGCCCAATCAAGCATCGTCCCAACTGGAGAAATTCCTCCAGCCACTCCCCTCCAGGTGCAGGGTAACCCGTCCTTGACTTTCTGAGAAAGAATGTTGTTGAGTCCAATCTTCTACCACTCTATGAAATCCGCCCTCCCAAATTCCCAGGCACTAAATGTGGCAGCCTCGAAGCTTCCAAATAAAATATGGTTTCCAAGGCTGATACATAAGTCCCGCCCCACATGCATGGTGTGGCATCACAATGCACACACAAAAGGACGAGGCTTCTGTCTTGACACTCCTCCCTTTATTAGTCTATCCTCACAATTTTCCCCTTCTGCAGACCCTGCTCCCCACAGGACTTTCTCAGGACTATCCAGGCAAATATAAAGCCTGCACTTTTCGGTCAAGAGGAAAGTTGACCTTAACTCCTAAGATTGCAACTCAGCTGCTGAGATTCTTTGACTGCGGACAAATTAAGCTTTAATTACCATCAAATATTACATTGATTTGGTTTCCAAGAGAGGCAAAATATAATCAGCCCTTGCTTAGCAACCATTCATTCAGCAACCAAAGAGACGTATGGCTCAAACTTGCAGCTGTCACAACCTCCCTGCAGCCACGTGATCGCAATTTCAGTGCTTGGCAACAGGCACACAATTATAATGGTTGCAGTGCCCCGGAGTCATGGGATCACCATTGGCAAGCTTCACTGGTGGATTCTGATAAGCAACATCAACAGGGAAGTTGGCAGGAAGTTGCAAGTGATGTCATGTGGTGTTGCGTTTAATGCCTGCACAGAAGTTGCATAGCAACAGCAATCAGAATTGCCATCGCAAATTGGCACGGTCAGGTGATTTTTCAATTTATAACTTCATTGTCTAGTCCAATTTAAGCCATTCATGAAGACTACCTGTACGCATTTCTGATTGTATCCAGTACTGCAATCTGGGCAGGGATTGGGATAGAGTTTCCCACTCCAGAAAACTCCAGACAATTCAGTTTATTTGTTCTGGTTCCTGGTCTATGTAATAAACTGAATTGAACTGAAAACTCTCAAGAGTTTTGGCGTGCATGCATCGCCAAAATGCAATGTGTGTGTGCCTCCCGCGCCTGTGTCCTATCTCCCGCACATGCACCCCGCCCTCCAGCACATGCATGCACACACCCCATGCATGTGCCCCACCCTGCACATGCGCTCCCCCGCACGTGCCCTGTGCATGCGCAACAGAGACTGAGGACCAGCTGGCAGGTGGGAGGTGCGCATGCAAGAATGGCAGAGCTGACCTGGGGTGACGGCTCACACGCCCAGAGAGAGGACCCTGCGTGCCACCTCTGGCACGTGTGTCATAGGTTTGCTGTCACGGCATTAGACATTTTTCAGGCAATCAAGAATACATCCACAAATGTTCCAAAACTACTAGCAAAGAGTGGGCAACTAGCAGCCCTCAGACTGTGTTTTTAGTATGCTAAAAATGATTAGTAAGCTAAAAATGACACTGTTTCCCACAGGGGAGGGATACGACAGGGTTAACTACCGGTTCAGGATTTACGAGCTTCCCTGCACACTGCGAGCTGTGCGCCTGTGAATCGTCATCAGCACGCTGCGTGCAGAGAAGCAGTCTTTGAAACAGCCCTCTTTTCCTGCTTTTTTAACTGCAGCTGTGCCTCGTTCGGTAAGCTGACGTTGAAAAATCAGGAAATAAAGATCAGGTAACAGCCCGGTTGGCGCGGGTGGCAAAAACATCAGCAGACATAGGACCGGTTCTATGTCTGCTGCTCTTCAGAGCTACCGGTTCTACAGAGGTGGACAGAACCGGTAGAAACCCACCCCTGGTTTCCCACCATTCTGAGATGGAAGGTGCTCAAAGTAGCCTTCCAATAGCCATCATACATTAAAAAGAACAAACCTGCCAAGCAGAGAAAAAGGAAATGCAAGAGACACAGGGTAGTACCCAAAGCCCACCAGTTAGATCAGTATTGGGAACTTACCCCAAACAAAACATACAAATATGGAGAACATCCTCTGCAATAAAGTCCAAATAAAAAATTGCACCTGAAAAGAAAAGAAGCCTTTACAAATAGAACCTCCTTTAAAACGAAGGCTAAACAGTTCATAACATAAACAAAAATGTATCTAAGGAGACAGAATTGATGTGTGGATAGATTATATTTTTATAACTCAAAAGCTGGCCAACTGAGTTACTAAGAGAAGAAATGGGAATCATCCCATGGAGCAGGGGTGTCAAACTCAGTTTAATTGAGGGTTAGGGTTAGGGCTGTGTTTGAACTGGGGGGTAGGGTGGGTGGGCGTGGCCAACTGCGTGGGCCTGGCCAGCTTGACACCACTCCCCAAACGGCTGCCATGTTTCCTCTTCGCATTGGGTAGATTGCTCTGAAGCCACGCTGCCCGGCCCCTTACGTTTTCCAGGATGGCTCCGTGGGCCAGATCCGACCACATCGTGGACCGGATCTGGCCCACAGGCCTTGTTTGACACCTCGCCATGCAGGATGCACCTGGATTCAAAAACATGGAGCCACATCCCATAACTCAGGGGCCCCCAACCCCGCTAGTGCGCTGCAGCTTGTTCAAAACCAGGCCATGGGAGAAATGGGCAAGCGCATGTCCACCATAGGAGTGGAGATACGTACGTGAGCACACGCCCAGTGGTGGGATTCAATTTTTTTTACTATCGGTTCTGTGGGCGTGGCTAGGTGGGTATGGCCATATGACTGGGTAGGTGTGGCTTTTTTTTTTTTTTTGCTTTTTTGCAGCCACCCCCTCCACACCCATTTTTTTGGGGGGGCTTCTGGGCCTCAGAGGAGCCTCTAGGGGGGTGTTTTTGCTCCCCTAAGGCTCCTCTGGGGCTCTGGAAGGCAAAAAATGGAGGGGGGGGGCTGAGCTCCTCCCTCCATGTTTTGCCTTCCTGGGCCTCAGCAAGGGGAATCCGGCACAGCTGATCGTATAAACAGCTGATTATCGGGAGGGGAAAAAAAGAAAGAAATACCTTAGGTGAATGTCAGGGAGGCGGGCAGGGTGAGCGAGCATCAGGCGGGAGGGCGACTGGGTGGGGGGTATGGCCAGCCAGAACTTACTACAGGTTCGGTGGCCCACGCCAAATCCTTGCTACTGGTTCGCCCGATTCGGTGTGAACCGGCTGAATACCACCACTGCACAAGCGCCCTCTGTTCAAGCACACTGTCATGATGTCTCTTTAACATTGACAATTATTTTGTATTGCATTTTTTTAAAAAATGCTCTGTTAGCTGCCCAGAGAGGTTATTGCCAAACAGGCAATCATGGGCAGTGATATACATCCGCATGCATAAATAAATAAATAGCTTGATATCCAGAAAAAAGGTTGCTGTGGCTTGCTTTATGAAGTCTAGTTTAAACATTAATATTTCAGAAGTGTACCGAATTCATATTTTTAAAAGATATTTAATTACAGGTGTTAAAAGACAAATGAAAACTTCTCTTATGTGATTTCAATTAAAAGTTTACAAAAACAAGTCCTAGCATTGAAATCTAGATCCGGTTTAAACTCTTTAATCAGGGGTATCCATTCTTGGCAACTTTACGGCTTGTGGACTTTGCCTCTCAGAATTCTCCAGCCAGCCATGCTGACTGGAGAATTCTGGGAGTCGAAGTCCATAAGCCTTAAAGCTGCCAAGATTGGACACCCCTTTTTTACATGTTTAAATAAGTACAGTAGCTTCTTTCTGGGTATTCTTTTCCTAGCGGATTAGAACTGTGGTGGGTACAAAACTCAACTATGCCGAAGAAGTGACTCCTCTGTTGGATATGTACAGTAATGAAATCAAACTCAATAGCAGAGAAGATTTGTTTAGCACCAGAAGCCTGGACTTAATTTGAAATGTGTCTCTCACTGGGAAAAACATTTTCTTGTTATCATTGTAGGCAATTTCGTTTTAAGCACTAAAATACATATTTCAAGGTAAGTGTTAAGTCAGGGATCTTCTCTCGGTGATGGAAAGAGGTTATTTGCTGATCAGCTCCTTCCATCATTTTAATGCACCAATATACACGTACCTGCCGTAATTCCTATTACAGTAGACAGGATATAACCCACACTAGCAATCTGGGATACATCATACAATTGGGAAGCTTGGGTTAAAAACCTAGGAGAAAAATAAATTTAGTGGGGGGGAAAAAAATCAGACAACACTGCCCATAAATAAGTAACAAAACATTTCACAAAAAGCTGAAGATGTTTCAGCACAAAGAAAGGGAAATTTACAAATCATGAACCAAAAACAGGATCACCAGTCTGAGATTCAGCTATTGATCTCATTGGCAAAACAAGTAGATTTGCCTGCCGAAATTTCAGCTCATTCCAAAATTTCTAGGTAATATTTTATAACGAGGGGTCCTTGGTATCCTCTGAGCTTCATGGATATCTTTTGTAGTCGTTTCATTACCCAAACTGGATAATCAGTGCTGCTAGTGTTGCCTAGTTTGGGTAATTTCAGATCACAAATAGAATAACAGAGTTGGAAGGGACCTTGGAGGTCTTCTAGTCCAACCCCCCCGCTTAGGCAGGAAACTCTATACCATTTCAAACAAATGATTGTCCAATATCTTCTTAAAAACGTCCAGTGTTGCAGCATTTATAACTTCTGGAGACAAGTCGTTCCACTGATTAATTGTTCTAATTAAATGTCTGCAAGAAAACAACCAATCTCAGAGAGCATCAAGGACCCATAATCTCAACCCTGAGCTACAAATATTCTCCTTTTGGGGTAGTACATATATAGACATCAAATGCTCCAGAAAGCAAGAAAATGGGGTCGAATGTTTTCCTATCTTCATAACTTTAAGATGTGTGAACTTCAACTCCCAGAATTCCCCAGCCAGCCATGGGACCAGAATTTCCCTGGCTAAGCAAGGTGATTAAGTGACAGTGCACTTGGATTTTATGACCTTTTTTGTCTCAGTTGTTAAGCAAATCACTGTAGCTATTAAGACAATCTTGTGGTTGTTAATTGAATTTGACACCCCCCCACCCAACCCCACTAACTTTGCTAGCTTCCCAGTTGGGAAGAATGCAAATAAGGATCCATGACCCCAGGACAACTATTGTAAACACTCTGCCATTTGTCAAATGCCCACATTTTGATCCCATGCTGCAATAGTCATGTGTGAGCATTGGTCATAAGCCACTGTTTTGACTTTTTGATTCATGAATAGAATAGAATAGAATAGAACAGAATAGGAGAATAGAATAGAATAGAATAGAATAGAATAGGGGAAAATAGAATAGAATAGAAAAAAAGAAGACGTGAATAGGAGAAGAGAATAGAATAGAATAAGAGAAGAGAAGAAAACAATAGGAGAAAATAGAATAATAGATTAGAATAGAATATAGAACAGAATGAAAGAATAGAATAGAATAGAATAGAATAGGAGAGGAGAATAGAATAGAATAGAATAGAATAGAATAGAATAGAATAGAATAGAATAGAATAGAATAGAATAGAATAGGAGAGGAGAATAGAATAGAATAGAATAGAATGGAATGGAATAGAATAGGAGAGGGGAAAATAGAATAGAAAAAAAGAAGACGAGAATAGGAGAAGAGAAGAGAATAGAATAAGAGAAGAGAAGAAAACAATAGGAGAAAATAGGATAATAGATTAGAATAGAATATAGAATAGAATGAAAGAATAGAATAGAATAGGAGAAGAGAGGAGAAGAGAGCTATGGGAATTCAGCAGAATGATGGCACGGAGGAAAAACTGTCTCTGTATCTAGTTGCTTTGGCATGCAATGCCCCATAGCAATGTCCTGAGCGGAGAAGTTGAAACAGCTTATGTCCAGGATGCGAGGGATCTGCAGATATTTTCTCAGCCCTCCTTCTGACCCAGGCAACATACAGGTCTTCTATGGAAGGCAGGTGGGTTGCAATTTTTTTTTTTTTTATAGTCCTATCCATTGAAGTCTGTACCAGTCCTGTTCAGTTGCTCTACCAAAGTATACCTTTGGCTACCAACTATGATGATTACAAATGGAACCTTAAGATCCAGAAAAAAAAATATCTCTCATTATTTGTAAAAGGAAGGATGCTTCGCATCCCCATCCCTCCGAGCACACTTCCAGCAATTCACACAAGATGCAACGAGTGTGGGAAGCTGGCATTTAACTGTGTGTTCCCAAATGACCCCTTCCACTGAAGCTTTTTGAGAACAAGAAATTATTCAAATTGTTAGTAAAAGGCCCATCTCTGGTCAGAAACAGCAACAAGAATCCAATTACCTAGTTTCCAAGCGCTACCTGCCGCACAGGCTCTATTTTTGATCTATAATTCATTTTAATTAAATTTGAATTACCTTGACATTTGGTGGTGAGCTGCAGGAAGAAAATACACATTTAGGGAGAAAGAGAAGGAAGGAAGGAAGGAAGGAAGGAAGGAAGGAAGGAAGGAAGGAAGGAAGGAAGGAAAGAAGGAAGGAAGGAAGGAAGGAAGGAAGGAAGGAAGGAAGGAAAGAAATGGAAGGAAGGAAAGAAATGAAAGGAAGTAAGAAGCAAGCAAGCAAGCAAGCTTTGTTCTACTTACTCTGCCTGAAAAGTTGTTGTCGCCACCATGCACACGGCCATGATGTAAAAGATAGGGTAGCCCAGCTGCATATTCCCCCGAATGGAAACCACGATCATGCCCGCAACGGCTTTGACGGTAATAACAGTCATGGAACCTGAAAAACCGCCAAGGTAAGAAGCCTTGTTTTGCTCAAGAGCAGGGGTGTCAAACTCGATTTCATTGAGGGCCAACATCAGGGTTGTGTTTGATGTTGGGGGGCTGGGGTGGGTGTGGCCATCTTGACAACACTCATTTCGGGGGCGCCTGTGGAGGCCCAAGAGCTCTGCCAGAGAAAACGGACTCCTGGTAGTGGTGGTATTCTACTGGTTAGGCCTGGTTCTGCCTAGCCGGTAGCGGCGATGAGTAGCAGAGACCAAACCGGTCCTCTCTACCACTCTGCTGTTGGGCCCACCCACCCGCCTGGGCTCCCATACTCACCTTTATCCTCTGAATTTGAAGCGCAGCTGCTTTGCGTGGTACAGAAGAGTGCCACGCGGCAGCTGCTGAAATGACCGGGATCGTACAGGCTTGCAGGAAGTGAGTTGGAATGCCTCCGCGCCTGGTGCAAAGGGCACATTTGGCATGAGCGCGTACGCACGCACGCAAAGGGTGTGCACACCTGCAAAGCGCGCCCACCAAGCCACGCCCTCTGAACCGGTGGTAAAACTTTTTGAATCCCACCACAGGCTCACAGCCTCTATTTTTGGCTGGGAGGGTCTCCTGAAACCCTCTGCCAGCAACAACGGCGCTCGGGAGGGCTGCATTTTCACCGGCAGAGGCACTGCAGTCCGGTCCTTCGCTATTTCCAGGGTGGCCTCATGGGCCAGATCTAAGTACTCCACAGGCTGGATCTGGGCCTTGGGCCTTGAGTCTGACCCCCCTGTTCAGGAGCAACAACAACGGCGAACGAAATACATTACAGGCAGTCCTCGACATACAGCCACAAGTGAGCCGAACATTTCCGTTTCTAAGCGAGACATGGGTTACGTGAGTTTTGCCTCATTTTGCAACTTTTCTTGCCGTGGTTGTTGAGTGAATCACTGTAGTTGTTAAGTTAGGAACACAGCTGTTCATTGAATCTGGCTTCCCCATTAACTTTGCTTATCAGAAGGTCGCAAAAGGGAATCATGTGACCATGGGACAGTGCAACCGTCATAAATATGTGTTGTGGTTAGCCGGCAGCAGGTGCAGATGGCTGAGGAGAGCAAGGACTGAGATGAGGGAGCCAGGACCATCAGGGAGTGGAGTGCTGCCTTCAGAGATCGTGTGGGCTGGCAGCAGCGATGAGGAGGTTCCTGAGGAGCCTGTGCCAAGTGCCAAGGACTGCTTGAAGGAAAGAACAATTACAGCAGCACGGGTGACTCGGGAGTAAGGCTGCAAGGTAATGGCCCCTCCCTCAAGAGGATAAAAACCAGGTTTGGAAAAGCGTTCTTTGCAGACAGCAAAGAATCTCTGAAGCTCAACTTGTGGACATCTTAGTTCGAGTTTGGAGAATCTTGTAAATTAGTTCTTATCTCTAGGTTTTTGGCATCATTGACAAACAACTTGGCAAGGCTCTTTCTTGTCGGAGCTAATTAGTGGAAAGCAGCCTTTTACCTTTAAAGGAACAGAATTCGTTATTAAACCTTAAAAGGTGGGGGCTGCTGCCTTTGTCTGTGTTTGCTCTTTGGGAACCCGGTTGGGTCAGAACAATATGAGTCAATTGTCAAGAGTCTGAATTTTGATCATGTAGCCATGGGGAGGCTGCAACAGACATATGTACAGGTGGTCCTTGACTTACAACAGTTCGTTTGGGACCGTTCGAAGTTACAACAGCACTGAAAAAAGTGACTTTATGACCATTTTTCCCATTTGCGACCATTGCAGCATCCCCACTAATCAAAATTCTGATGCTTGGCAACTGACTCATTTTTATAACGGTTGCAGTGTCTCCTTGGGGGTCACGTGATTCCCTTTTGCAACCTTTTGACAAGCAAAGTCAATGGGGAAGCCAGATTCACTTAACAACTGCAGTGATTCACTTAACAACAGTGGCAAGAAAGGTCACAAAATAGAGTGAAATTTCACTTAACAAATGTTTCACTTAGCCACAGAAATTTTGAGCTCAATTGCGGTCGTCAGTCGAGGAGTACCTGTAATGGGAATTGCCATCAACAGGAACAAGAGCTTGACTTATTAATCTCTTTCCAACCACTCAGCCCTTGATGAATTTATTTTTTATCAGGATAATTCTTCATGGGGCTTTGTCCAGGCAGCCATCTTCCTGGTGGCTCAGAGCCTTTTTGGAACCAGCCTTGAAAACCAATAAATAAATAAACACATAAAATCTGACTCCTCCAAGGGTCTTGGATCAGGATTCCTGGAATATGAAGATTACAAAACACCTGGAAGGAACCAGCTTTGGGAAAGCTGAATGGCGATGAAATCCCACACACATAACACATGCACGAACTTGCTTCTTTGCGAATCTGAGGCCAAGGTTTAACAATCCAGTGTGTGAAACCAACCTTACGTAAAGAGAAAGAGGAGAAGAGACTTACCAAGGAGGGCTACCAGAAGCAGAATCACCACAATATAGTCTGCTTTCTTCTGCTTGTAGAAATATAAAAGCAGGCAGAACAGAATGATCTCCACCAGCTAAAGAAAGAGAATAGAGAAATGACAATGGGTTTGGTTTGAAATAAGGCTAATGTCAACTTATAAAATATTTCTATGGTCGTTTCAGAGTTGCCAACAGAAAGGGGGGCGGGGGAAAGGGGTTTGAAAGTGCGGCAGCTTGGAAATAGAAAGTGCATTCCATACATAGCTTTTCAAAGATAGTAACTAGGTGACTGAAGTTTCTGCCGTGCAAAATTCTAACTGGAGAACATGACTGATGACTCTTGGCTATGGATGTGTCCCATTGGAGAATATGAATTATGATACACCCAGGGGGTGGAGGGAAAACCAGGGTCAAGGGTGACAATGAATGATGTGTCTCAGAGTTGGCTACACCCAGGCAGTGCCAGACATGTTAACTCCCAATAAATCCTTTTAAAGTTTTGGAAGTTTGGCTCAAGACTCATGATTTAATTGGGGTAACTGCCGGAATCCTGACAGCTGGCGTTCCAGGGTTTTTTCGCCTCTTCACATTCTTGCCCTTGCAGGCTGAAGAGACCTCTCCCCCTTTTGCAAATGCAAAAGGGGGTCCCTCCTGCCTTAGTTCCCCAGAAATCTGGGAACTGGGAGTTTGCATTCCAAGTACAAGTAGCCCTTGAATTACAACCATATTGGAAGAGGCCTATTAGGGTCACAAGTTGTAATGGTGGGAAAATGATTTTTACTTTTTTGTATCAGTCATTAAGAGAACACAGTGGTCATAAGTGTAAGTTCTCCATGGGCTGGGAGTGCCCATTTTTAGCAAAAGCACCACAAAATATAGTCACATGACTACAGGACACTGCAAATAGCCATAAATACAGGTAGTCCTCAACTTAAAATTTCTGTTGCTAAGTGAATTTTGCTCCATTTTACAAGCTTTCTTGCAACAGTTGTTAAGTTAGTAACACGGTTGTTAAGTGAATTGGGCTTCCTCGTTGACTTTGCTTCTCAAAAGCTCATAAAAGATGTTGACATGACCCCCTCCCCCAAGACAATGCAACCGTCATAATATGAGTCAGTTGCCAAGCATCTGAACTTTGATCACGGGGATGTTACAATGATAAATGCAAAAAATTGTCATTAGTCACTTTTTTCACCGTTCAAAGATCACTAAACGAACTGTTGTAAGTCGAGGACTACCTGTACGCATTGCCTAGTGCCTAGTGATGGCGAACCTATGGTACGCGTGCCACAGGTGGCACACAGAGCCACTTGTGCCGGCACGCAAGCTGCAGGCAAACTTACCTCACTGCATGTGCGCACCTCATAGCTGATTTTCAGCCAGTTTGAGGCCTTTTTCAGCCTGCCAGAGGCTTGAGGAAGGCTTCTGCAGGCTTTGCAGGCCGAAAACTAGCCCTGTTTCATCACTTCCTGTTTTTCCAAAAATACCAGAAGTGACTAAACAGGGCTAGTTTTCAGTTTGCAAAACCTGCAGAAGTCTTCCTCAAGCCTTTGGAAGGCCGAAAAAGGCCTCAAACCAGCCGAAAATGAGCTGTGAGGTGCAGTGCAGGTAAGGGGGTGGCATGGTGGTGGCATGGGGATTGCGTGTAGCAGGCTGAGGTCATGCATTGCCTTCTGGGTGCTGGCATGTGAGTCCAAGTGTGCAAGCGCATGCACAATTTTTGGCACAGGAGCCAAAAAAGCCACCACAGTCCTAGAACATGGTTGGCTAGGGAATTCTGGGAGTTGAAGTCCACAGGTCTTAAAGTTGCCATGGTTGGACTCCCTTGGCTTAGGTGGAGTGCAGTTTATTTTATATGCAGGTAGTCCTCAATTTACCACCATAACTGAGCCCAAAATTTATGTTGCTAAGTGAGAAATTTTTTAACTGAAGTCTTGCCCCGTTTTTACGACTTTTCTTGTCACATTTATTAAGTGAACTACTGCAGTTGTTAAATTAGTAATCTGGTTGTTAAGTGAATCTGGCTTCCCCACTGACTTTGCTTGTCAGAAGGGTCGCAAAAGGGAATCTTGTGACCCCACAACATTACAACCGTCATAAATGTGAGTCAGCTGCCAAGCATCCGAATGTAAATCATGTGACCTTGGGGATGCTGCAACGAAGTGTGAAAAATGGTCCTAACTCACTTTTTTCAGTGCTGTTGTAACTTCAAGCGGTCACTAACTGAACCGTTGTAAGTCGAGGACTACCTGTATTTCTTAAAAGCTGATCCTGCCTTTCCTGCAGGGCCACGCATACACCAAGCCCTGAGCCAAGCTTCACCCTGACCACCACAGCAGAGCTAAGCTGGGCTCAGACTGGGCTGAGGGAAAAGGATTGGCCCAAAGTTACCCAGGGAGCTCTTGTGGCTGAGAGCTGCTTTGAACCTGGGTTCAAAGGGTGCTGCCAGCCCACACGGCCCCTTAGGCAATTGGTGCCCCTGAAACAGAGGAAGAGCGGAGCATGTTTGGGCAGGCATGGCTGTGTCTGCCATCTTGCTCATGAACAAGCAAACATAGCCCTGTAAGCTTTAGGCAGTGCCTCAGTTCCTGAGCAATTATTATTTTAATTATATTCTTATAATCGTGTGTAATTATTATTTACAATTATATTATCATCATCTTGTGTAATTATTATTTTAATTATATACTTGGTTTATGCAGGTTTTATTACATTGAGATTTGGTTAAAACTATTTATTCAAAATGGAAACATATTTTTAATACACATTTTTAAAAAATAAATCCGTGAAATCTTCTGGGGCCACACGTATTTGCTGAGCTTCTTCTTTCTGCTGGCAGATTCCTCATGTTTGGCTCTTTTGCTCAGAAAATGAATAGCCTCCCCACTAAACCAGCGTCTCTCAATTACACAAGAACTGATCCTATGTAGTTTGTAAACCCTAGATTATTACAATGAGTTGGCTAACTTGGCTTGTCTAACACACTACGGCAGGGCTGTCAAACTCCCGGTGTCAGGATTCCGGCAGTTACCCCCATTTAAATCATGAGGCTCGAGCCAAACTTCCAAAACTTCGAAGGATTTACCTGGAGTTAAAAGGTCCGGCACTGTCTGGGTGTAGCCAACTCTGAGACACATCATTCATTATCACCCTTGACCCGGGTTTTCCCTCCACCCCCTGGGTGTATCATAATTCATATTCTCCAAGGGGACACATCCATAGCCAAGAGTCATCAATCATGCTCTCCAGTTAGAATTTGGCGCGGCAGAAACTTCGGTCACCTAGTTACTATCTTTGAAAACATTTATGGAATGCAATTTCGCTTTGCAAGCTGCCGCACTGCTCCCCCCTCCCTTTCTGTTGGCAACTCTAAAAGACCATAGAAATATTTTATGAGTTGACACCCAGCCTATGGGCTGGATGCGTCATGTGCTGGCCACACCCAGTTTAGCAAAGTGGGGGAAAGTCCCAATACATCACATAATGCTGTCGTGACGACGTGAGTTTGACACCCCTGCACTAGAGCTACCAATAAAATAACCCAAGTGCTTATGTTTAAACACAACCCTCTAGGCTGGATATGAAGTAAGGACAGCAATAGTCATCGAACTTGGATTTATATACCGCTTCACAGTGCTTTACAGCCCTCTCTAACCTGTTTACAGAGTCAGCCTATTGCCCCCAACCATCTGGGTCATTTTACCGACCTCGGAAGGTTGGATGGCTGAGTCAACCTTGAACCATTCAGGACACCTAGGGATCCACTGTAACTGCAGATCTAAAACTTAATTTGGGATCACATCATGTTAAATCAGAGATCTTCAAACTTGGCAACTTTAAGACTTGAGGGCTCCAACTCCCACAATTCCTCAGGAGGAACTATGGGAGTTGAAGTCCACAAGTCTTGAAGCTGCCAAGTTTGGGGGCTCCTGTGTTAAATCATAATGTTATCTAATTGGTTTGACTTAATACAATTTATTAATACATCATTGTGATTTAGAATAGAATAACGGAGTTGGAAGGGACTTTGGAGGTCTTCTAGTCCAACCCCCTGCCTAGGCAGGAAACCCTACACCGCTTCAGACAAATGGTTGTCCAACATCTTTTTAAAAACTTCCAGTGTTGGAGCATTTACAACTTCTGGAGGCAAGTTGTTCCACTGATTAATTGTCCTAACTATCAGACAATTTCTCCTTAGTTCCAAGCTGCTTATCTTCTTGATTAGTTTCCACCCATTGCTTCTTGTCCTACCCCCAGGTGCTTTGGAGAATAGCTTGACTCCTTCTTCTTTGTGGCAGCCCCTGAGATATTGGAAGACTGCTATCATGTCTCCCCTTTTCCTTGCAAATCATAGTTTATGGAAAGGGGGCACTTTTTTGATGACTGAGAACCACTCTTAAGCCTTGAGATGATGGTGGCAGTATTGTGGGGAGGGTTGTTTGTTTCCTTAAAGCTTTGGGGCAGATTCTTGATTATTTTTAATTACAGTCATCCTTGTTTCAGAATTGATCTTTCTGAAGATAAAAAACCTGTCTGTTTTTTGCCAGCACCAGACTGCATACAGTTCTGAGAATGCTCATCCTTGCTTCATGGGTCAACTTGATATATGAACTCAGCTTTTGTGACTCACTCAACAAACCAGTTAAAACTAAAGCTCTAGAGCAGGGGTCGCCAACCTTTTGGACCTCAGGGACCACCAAACTCATAATTTTAAATCCCAGGGACCACTAATATGAATTTTGACTGACGGTGGCTTGCTGACGTTGGTGGGAGAGAGAGTGAAATCTGATCTAACCCCTTCCTCTCCCTCTCTCTTTCTCTTAAACACACACAGAGGCAGGTGTGGGATTAAAATTTCTTAATAACCAGTTCTGTGGGCGTGGCCTAATTTGTGGGTGTGGCTTGGTGGTCATGTGACTGGCTGGGCATGGCTTGTATGTAAATATTATAAATATTTATGTAAATATTGATTTTTTTTTATAAAAAAGAGCAACTTTTACCCAAAATCAGGCAAAGCAGGAAGGCAGATTGAGTTGCTCACAGAATCATAGATTCACTCAGAGATCTATCTTTCTGCCATCAGCTACCTGAATCTGCACTGAATAACAGAAGCTTCAGTCCTAAGGAAAGTTCGGCTCTGCTTAAAAGCGGAGCTGAAGATCTAAAGATTAGCTAGAAAGCAAGAAATCCAATGGTTTCCTGCTTTCTAGCTAATCTCAACCTCCTCCAGCAGAACAGCTGATGGTAAAAAAAAAAGGAAAAATAGCAACTTAGCAGGCAAGTTTGCCAGGTAATGAGTGAGTGGGCGGGCAGAGTTCCTGCGGGCCTTGTGTTCCTGCACAGCCTGGATTAATTGCTTTGGGGGGGTGCTCTGGGGGTGACATTTCTCTGCGGACCACCAGAATTTTCTCCTGGACCACCAGTGGGCTGCAAACCACGGGTTGGCGACCACTGCTCTAGATCAGCCTTTTTCAAACTTGGCAACTTTAAGAGGTGTGGAAGCCTTCTCCCCAAATTCCCCAGGCAGACAACAATTCTGAGAATCAAAAGCCCACGCCTCTTCAAGTTGTCCAGATTTGAGAAACCCCAATGTAGATCAAGGAAGCACGTTAACCACAGAGCAAGCACAAAATCTCACAGAGCGAGGCTTAGGCCTTTAAACGAAACAGCGCTGAGGAGGAAGACCATAGATTAGACTCGATGAAATGGATCACTTTACCATATACAGAAGGAACGGCCAGCTGACCAGGTGCTTTCTGATGTTCTCCCCTGTCATGACTTCATGATTGTTTGGTCCAAAGGTGATCAGCAGGTACGTCCCAACAATGGCTAAGGCGCAGCCTATGAAGGACAAAACGTAACGCCCTTTGGCAGGATGAAGACAGGAAAAGCTGCGTTAGTTTCATTCGTTTGGAGGCCTACAGCAGCTCTGAGTTATAGTTACATGCACAAAATGAGTTACAAAAATGAGATGGGGAAAGCAGTACAGGCTACCCTTTTACATGGATTGGAATACAACTCCATGCTAATGAGACTTGCACTGCGGGTACAGTTATGCAGGGGGCTGGCTGATTTAAAGTGGGCACCCCACTATTTTCCTGAAGAATAAAGGAACTTAGAAACGACAGACACAGGACAGGGAAAGGTCTTAAAATGAATACCATGTAAGAAGAGGGACAGGTAGCCCTTGACTTATGACCACTGTTTAGCCTAACGTTTCCATTGCTAAACAACACAGCTATTAAGTGAATTTTGTCCCAGTCAAAAACCTTTCTTCCACAGCTGTTCAGTGACTCACTGCAGTGAAGTTAGTAACCCGGTTGTTAGATGAATCTGGCTTCCATGGTTGGGTTGATGACCTTTACTACGGAGAAAGGTCCCGTGAACTTTAGCCATCAACTTCTTACTAGGGAGCCTTAACCTCAAGTATTTAGTGGAGAGGTGGACCTTCTCCCCCAGATGGAATGGCCTTTGTGGGGCCTAGTGTTTGTCTGCCTGTCTCTTATAAGTTTGCGCCGCTTTAGCTAGCTCTTTTTTAACATTCTCCCAAGTTGCTTTCAGCGTTGACATCCAATCGGTCAGGCTGACTGAGGAGGGGGGGGATCCCTTGGATATTCAGGCATTGGGACGAAGTCCATGCTGCTCACCACTTTGAAGAGGGTTAGTCCTGTGCTTCTGTGAACAGCTTTATCGTACGCGACGGAGGTCCACCGAATTGGACTGCTGATGATTCACGTAGCACCTCAAATACTGCTCTACCATGGCGTTCAATCTCTCTGCCCACCCCCCCGCCCCCCCAAATTGGTGCTTGGATGAAAGGCCAAGCTAAGGCCCAATAGTCCGCAGGAACTCCCTCCAAAATTTGGCTGTGAACTGGACTCCTCTGACTGAGGTAATTCGCCACGGCACTCCATGCAGGCGGCAGATGTGTTTCAAAAACGGCTTTGACTTGGCTTGTTAGAAAGTCGCAAAAGGGGAATCACACTACTCTGGGACACTGCAATCGTCATAAATAGGAATCCGTTGTGGAGCATCTGAATTGTGATCCTGTGATCATGGGGATAATTCGTGGTATTCTACTGGTTCAGCCTGGTTCTGCTGAGCCGGTAGCACCGATGAGCAGCAGAGACCAAACCGCTTCTCTCCACGACTCTGCTGTTGGGCCCTCCCACCCGCCTGGGCTCCCATATTCAACTTTATCCTCTGAATTTGAAGCGCAGCTGCTTTGCGTGGTACAGAAGAGTGCCATGCGGCAGCTGCTGAAGCGACCGGGATCGTGCAGGCTTGCAGGTGGTGAGTTGCAACGCCTCTGTGCCTGCGCAAAGTGTGTGTTTGGTGCACGCACACACACAAAGTGTGCGCGCGTGCGCAAAGCGCACCCACCAAGCCACACCCGCCAAACCGGTGGTAAAACTTTTTGAATCCCACCACTGGTGGGAATGCTGCAATGACTGACTTTTACTTATCGTAAGGTCGAAAAAAAGGGATCATCACGGGGCAATGGAACCGTCATAAATACATGCCAGTTGCCAAGCGGCTGAATTTTGATCGTGTGACCATGCAACGATCATTAAGTGTGAAAAACTGTCATAGGTCACTTTTTTTTCAGTGTTGCTGTAACTTCAAGCAGTCACTCCATGAATGGTTGTAACTCGAGGGCTACCTGTGTGTGTTACAATTAAAAGGATTAGCAAAAAAAGAAAGAAAACAAGAAAACGGAAGAAGGAATGCTCCCCAGGGGCCTGGATATAAATGAACAGGGACAGTCCTGTCCCCTTTTCTTCTGGACTTCTAAGATGAGACACCAACTAACACCCCTAACCCACCTTTCTCAAATGATGAAAAAGTAGCCAGCTACCTCCAAGTCGGTCCTAACAAATTAGCAGGTATGAAAGAAGCTAAAAAAATAATAATTGCAATGTTAAGAGAGAAACCAATTCTTGTTGCTTTGTACCATCCATGCAAGAGGAAGCAAGAGGAAGCAAAGGTAAAAGAGACATGCTGAAGACGGACAGTCCTGAAAAATGCATCCAGTCACTTACTCAAGAAGTCTTTGGGTTTCCATTTTTCCCTGATGAATATGACTCCAACGATTGTACTGGCTGAATGAGAAAATAGTAAGTAATGAGCTTTGCCAATGCTAGAGAGAGCCGGTCTGATTAGTTCAAGCTGGGGCATGCGTGTATTTTCACGTGTGGAAATGTTTGGTTGATTAGGGGATTTTTTCCTGTTTTATTTTTGAATAAATCAGCATAACTGGGGAACATCTGGCCTACATATCCTGGATTTGGGTGGATGTAAGAATGTGGATCTTGCTAGCATCTTGAAGACTTGGTACGTGCATGGCCGCCTGACCTTGCTTCCATAGGAGGCAATTTTATATGGATTGTCAACTATTTCAGTTTTTGAGATATTTCTGACACTAGAAATATCAATAAAGGAGAATATTTATAGTTCAGGGTTGAAATGAGGGGTCCTTGGTGCTCTCTGAGCTTGCTTGTTTTCTTGCACCTAGACCAGGCCAAGTCCAAAAATGCCAGGGAATTTATAGAAACCTGGCACTCTGACAAATCAGCCATCAATAGACACATAGATGTTAACCATATCTAGAGTCTATGCAAAAGAGACAATCAACCAACCCAAAAGCAATAATGATAACACTTATATACCGCTTTACAGCCCTAAGCAGTTTACAGAGTCAGCCTATTGTCCCCCAACAATCTGGGTCCTCATTTTACCCACCCCGGAAGGATGGAAGGCTGAGTCAATCTTGAGCCTGGTGAGATTTGAACTGCCAAATTGCAGTCAGTCGGCAGTCAGCAGAAGGAGCTTGCAGTACTGCACTCTAACCACTGCGCCGCTGTGGCTCAAAACAGAACAAAAAAAGACTCCAATACCTCCCCAACAGTAATCAGCATTCAGATCAGCATAGATAAACTCCAAGGTCAACTTCAGACCAACAATCAAGTAAGCAATAGCCCAATCAAGAAACTGCCAAAGAGCCTGATGGCTATAGTAAAGGGTCAGTATATCTAATATTACACAACCTGGCATGGCATACGTCCAGCAATGGAAAAGTGAAAACACGCCCTCAGAAAAAGAGATAATAAAATATTAGTTTGCACAGAATTGGACAGATGAATGTTAGAATTAAAAAAACAAAACGGAAAAGAATACTACAATACATGGAATAAATATTACCAATGGCTGGAATCAAGAGGTCGGAATTGGAACACAAAATAACTAGGTTAATAGACCTGGAATGGGATATTATATATGTATTAGAATCAGTATGTTGGTCAGAAATAATTGTATAAGATTAGCAATGTATAAATAGTATATATGAGCCTCTGTGGTGCAGTGGTTAGAGTGCAGTACTGAAAATTACTTCTGCTGCAGCCAGCTGCCTACAATATGGCAGGTTCAAATCCCAACAGGCTCAAGGTTGACTCAGCCTTCCCTCCTTCCAAGGTGGATAAAATGAGGACCCGAACTGTTGGGGGCAAGAGGCTGACTCTGTAAACCGCTTAGAGAGGGCTGTAAAAGCACTATAAAGCAGTATATAAGTCTATTGCTATATATGTCATTTGTATTTCACTTGGGTATGTAGGGTGGAAGAAATGCCAGAATGGTCACACTGTATTTGATATACCTCTATGTAAATAATAAAAATATTTATATATAAAAAAAGAAACTGCCAAAGAGCCATCAGTAAACAGCCCAACCAAAGAATCCCTACTTCCACCACCACCGACAAGCAAATCACCACAATATAAACTGACAGCAAACCCCATTCCATTCTAGAATTAGAATTAGAATTCTTTTATTGGCCAAGTGTGACTGGACACACAAGGAAATTTGTCTTGGTGCAAATGCTCTCAGTGTACATAAAAGAAAAAATACATTCATCAAGAATCATCAGGTACAACACTTAATGATAGTCACAGGGTACAATAGCACTGATGATGTTACCAAGTTTGGGTAACAAAATGTCTGCCAGAAAGCAAGAAAAAAGCTCAGAGACCCCCAAGGACCCTTTGTTAGAAATATCATGGGGGATAAATCACACAGCATCATAGGAGAAGCCTGCAGGTGCCAGTCTTATCTGCATGGCAGAAGGAATAACCTTGAGAAACAGGAGTTTCAAGAGTGCCAATGAATATACAATGGTCAGATAAAAGACATCTGTGTTCTAGCCAGAATTGTCACCTGAGGTAAACATCTCAGACAAACCCTCCCTGGTTCTCCTGAAGATAAAGGAAAGGAAGGCAAAGGCCCATTCGGACATCCAACACTCTTGTGACTATAACCTGGTAATTAAAGTTGGCTGAACTGTTAGCTATTGTATGCCTAGTGCTCTTCCCTTAAATTAAGTTTTAACTGTTTCAATTGGTTTTTTTTAAAATGAGTTTTAATTTTAGCTGCTCATTTGTAATTACAGGTAGTCCTCCTCTTACAATGGTTCATTTAGTGACCATTCAAAGTTACACTGCCACTAAAAAACGGGATTTACGACCATTTTTCACACTTAAGAGCATTGCAGCATCCTGATAGTCACGTGATCGAATTTTGGACGCTTGGCAACTGACTCGTATTTATGACGGCTGCAGTATTCCGGGGTCACATGATCCTCTTGGGCGACCCTCAGACAAGCAAAGCCAATGGGAAAGCCAGATTCACTGAACAACCAAGTTACTAACTTAACAACTGTGGCAAGAAAGGTCGTAAAATGAAGCACAATTCACTTAACTAATGTTTCGCTTCACAACAAACATGCTGGGCTCAATTTTGGTCGTAAGTTGAGCACTACCTGTTTTTTTATTTTTATTTTATTTGTGAGCCACTTAAAGAGCCACAAATGCTAGGCGGGTGGCTACATATATTGAACGAATGAATAAGCAAATGAAATTTGCAAGGCTCCCATCTGCGTTCGTGCCCTTGGTTTCCTAGTCTGCTCTACCATGAAGAGCTGACCTGTGTTGAGGGACTTACCTATGACAGAGACAGCCCCCAGAGGCACTATCAGGGACAGGGGGGCAAAAGCGTAGGCGGAGAAGACCCCCAACTCTCCCAGGCAGAGAAGGAACAATCCGCACCACCACGTCTTGGTCCTAAAATAAGCCTTAGTCTCTTTGCAACTCACCAACCGGATGTGACTGTATTTCTAGAGGGAGGGAAAGGAAAAAGAGAAGATTCAGTGGGGTTTCTATGGCTCTGGAATCCTTTTTCTCCTCCTCTCAGCTCACCTGGAGGTTGAGAGCGATGCTGATCATCAGGTGCCCAAAAATAGCCAGCAAGGCACCAATCAGATTTTCCTGCAAAGAAAGGAAAAAGCACAGGTATTAAACTTTGCAGGTTCTGTGAATGCAAGACGGACATACAGGTAGCCCTTGACTTACAGCCTTTCATTTAGCAACAGATCGAACATTATAATGGCATTGAGAGAAGTGGCTTATCACCCGTCCTCAAGCTTATGACATTCAGGTAAAAGTCCTGTAAGGAGCATGTATTTGTCCAGGCAAACATAAAATCCAGGCCAGCTTTCTCCAAACTGGTGGTCTCAAAAGGTATGTTGAGTAGGCCTCAACCAAACTCATCCCCAAGTTCAACCCTACAAAGGCCGCTGTCCAAGAGGACTCTTAGAGAAATAACTGTCTGGTTTGGTTCTGCAACCCAACAGGAAAGACACAGACTTCAGAGGATAATTAGGACTGCAGAAAAAACAGTTACTACCAACCTGCCTTCAATTGATGCTGTATACTGCACGAGCCAAAAAGAGGGCTGTGAAAATATTTACAGACCCCTCACATCCCGGACACGAACTATTTCAACTCCTTCCCTCAAAACGATGCTATAGAGCCCTGCACACCAGAACAACTAGACACAAGGACAATTTTTCCTTGAATGCCATCACTCTGCTAAACAAATAATTCCCTCAACACTGTCCAATTATTTAAAAAGTCTGCACTACTATTATTGTTAATCTTCTCATCGCTCCTTATCACCCATCCCCTTCCACTTGTGACTGTATGACTGTAACTTTGTTGCCTGTATCCTTACGATTTATATTGACTGTTTCCTAGTATGATTTGATTGCTTATTGTACCCTGTGACTATCATTACTTGTGATTATTGATTATTTACCTTATGATTCTTATGACTCTTGACGCATGTATTTTTTCTTTTATGTACACTGAGAGCATTTGCACCAAAGACAAATTCCTTGTGTCCAATCACACTTGGCCATTAAAGAATTAATTAATTCATCCATCCATCCAGTCCATTACATTTCCAAACTCATTCATGCAAGAATTCTAAGGCCAAAATCACCCCTGTACAGGTAATCATCGACTTATAACCATTCAGAAATTATTTATGACCGGTCTTTCCGCTTATGACTGTGGCAATATCCCCACAGATACATGGTCAAAATTTAGATGCTTGATAGCCAGCATGTATTTCTGACAGTCGCAGCATCTCAGGATTGTTGTGATCACCATTTGCAACTTTCCCAGGTGTCTTCCAACAAGCAAAATCAAAGGGAGAAGCTGGATTTGTTTAATGACGATGTGATTCACTTAAGAACCATGGTTATTCTTTTAACACCTGCGGCATAAAAGATAATAAAATCAGCCGCATCTCACTTGCTTTCTGACCTTCCCAAAAAATTTACAGGACATTATTTGGCAATATTATAACATTATCAGAAGGGCAAGTCACCCCCATTAGGTGGACCAGACCAGACCAATCAATATATAGGAAGATCAGAAGTATATTTTATTGAGGTTGGCTATAATAACTGAATCTGCTTGAACTGTAGCTCCTCTCGTTATACGCCAGTAAATAGGGGAGCGACTGCTTGAATCACTTCTACATACAAATAGTTGTGTACTCAAATTTACAACCTCTTTTGCCATGGTTGTTAAAAAGAATCATTGCGGTTCTTGAGACGTGCATGACTGTATTTATGTACTAGCTCGATACCCGTGCTTCGTTATGAAACTATGGGATCAGGCTTAGTTTTGGGGGAGGAAAATGAGAGGAAAAAATTCTCCCTCTGCCTACCAGCATCCATGGGTATTCATCTGGCTAGCGTCCTATCAGTGTATGAGAGAGTTGAGGGCTGTTTGGAAACTGAAACAGTATTTGCTGTGTGAGGAAGAAGACAACAAGGAGCCTGGGCATGGCTTAGCTGAACTGTTCTTTACTAAAGCCGGTTGCTGCTGTGAAACTGCAACTCCTCTCCTCTGCTTGTGTTTTGCATTTGGAAGAGAATTCTCTTCAGGTGGGGAGGGTTAGTAGAACTTCTTAGCATCAGAGCGTGTTAATAATAATATACAAAATACTAAAGCTCTGATGGTCATTTTGAAAAATCCTTTCTTAGTGAGCACCTAAGAGAAGCCAAGAGGAACATACATGCCAAATTTCAAGTTTGTAGGCTTTACGGTTCTGGAGATTTTGTGATGTGTGAGTGGTATTTCACTTTTATATACAGTATATAGATTTATACAGTCACCCATTTCATACTCACGTCTCTTTCTCCAGCAAGTGCTACTTAAGTCCATGTTTCTGAGTTACCCTTTGTACTGTATTTTTTTATATTTTTGGAGGACTTTATTTATATAGTTTTATTTATTTTTTAATATTGTAAGCCGCCCAGAATTACCCCGTGATGGGTAGCCAATAAATTTAATAAATATTTTTTAAAAATGCGATTCAAATATTATCCTCTCCTTGTGCTACCTCAGGCCCCTCTGGTGAATCTCGGAAATGAAAACTTTAGGATTAAAGAAATTACCCTGTAAGAGAAGGCATCCTCGTGGTCCGTCACAGAGATGGGCTGCGTCACTAGCTGTTCGAGTTGCAAGCTGGGGCTGTTTGCTTTCTCCATTTTAGGTTATCTGTACATTTCCGGTGTTTTAACTTCAGCACCACTTTAAATCCAGGAGGTGGCCAGATGCTTTGCCCGGTTCTTTCCCCATCTGCCTCCTCTACAGCATAGCTGCAATCTGATTGAGCAGAGAAAGCAGAGGACATATTGAGGATGGAGGGGAAGGAAAAAGAAAGAGAAAGAAAGAAAGAAAGAGAGAGAGAGAGAGAGAGAGAGAGAGAGAGAGAGAGAGAGAGAGAGAGAGA